CCCCCCCCCCGCCACTCGCCGCATCGTGAGAAGAGAGGGCCCCCACCAAACAAGGCTGCTTTTCATGGTGAAACAACACCGGCCCAGTTAGCAGCCCCCGTCCCTCCCCGTGTGACCCCCCCCCCGTCCCCCATCTGATCAATAATACCACCTCCCCAGCTCGCATTGTCCGCCCCCTCCTCCGCCTCTCTGAAAGCAGAGAAAATCCCCCCTTTCTCTCCTTTCACCGCCACCATGGCGTTCCCAGGATCCTGGCAGACTGCCCCCCCCCCATCCCATCCCCCACTTTCTGACGCCGGACTCCTTATTATCCACTCATCCCCCCCCCCCCCCTTTGTCTGTCTGACCACTTATGGCACATTTTTTTCCTTTAATCGGCCTCTTGTTTGTTGTCCTCTTGATTTTTATTTTCTGGCTCTTCGCCGCAGATGGACGGCGATGTAACTCTGGTGTTAGGGGGCGATGAGGCATCGTGACTTTCCTGCTGATTTGTAGAGGAGCATGAGGAATGGAATGTCGCCCCGTGCTGTAAGGGGTTCGAGGCCCTTCATAGATTCCCTGACGGACCCTGAAATATCCGCAGATGCCAAATGGCGTCGACCCCTGAAGACAAAGGTGTCCAGCTGGCTGTCAGTGTCGCATGAGGCAGTGCTGCAGTGCCGGTGTCCCTTACCACGCTGGTGTCGCTTACTCGGGGGGGGGGGCGGCATTTCTGCTGCGCTGTCACCAGTTTGCGGCTCAGGTGTTGCCAGGTTACACTGCGGGCGAGGAGGCCTGGGCATCCCTCAGGACCAGTAACCTTACTACTGCGGTGCCCCCCCCCCCCCCATGGGGGCCTCTGCAACATTAAGCAACCTGTACATCATCAAACAGCTTATCATTATGATAATGTCACTTGCCAGGAACACAGATATGGGATTCATGATTTTTAATGTGTGTGTGCGTGTTGATTATGTTTATATTACGTTATGAGGACCAAGTGTTCCCCACAATAAAAACCTGTTATTTTGATGCTGTGGGGATCATTTTTCAGGTCCCCACAAAAGTCTGTGAATGCAATCAAACACAGTAAAAATGCCAGAAGTCTCATATTTAGTTTGGTTACTTATGGTTAAGGTTAGGGCTGGGTAGGGGTTAAGGTCGTCATGTTGGGATGAGGGTTCTGCCCATAGAAATGAATGGAGGGTCGTCACAAAGATATAATTACAAACCTGTGTGTGTGTGTCTGACTGTGTGTGTGTGTGTGTGTGTGTGTGTGCGCGCGCGCACGCGTGACTCTGTCCTATGATGCCCTATCACCCCTGCCTCATGACCCGGTCAGCATGCTCACACTCACCTTGCCCTGGGTAATAAAAGATAAGAAGTTGCAACTGTGCACAGAAAACTATTTGTACCTATTGAAACACAAGCAGCTGGTCGCGGTCGGTGTTCCTCTGCTTTTTTCTTTCCCCGTTACGTCCCCATTTCGTGCTGCATAGTGTACCTCCTCCCTGCCTTAGGTAATAACGTGGCTGCACAGTGTTATACAGTATTTACATTTTTACCCATAAAAATCAATAGCCGTTCAAGAAACAAGTTCTTGGCTTACTTTAGTTTTATTTCTGAAAACGCTTCTATAAGGAGATTTTTCTGCTGAGGTGGTCTATTCTCCTATGTCTTGCCTGATTTGATGAGCGGCGTTCATGGAAGCTCTTTTGCTTTGGTTCCTGTGTGGCGGGGGCTGCTCACTCACCAGCGTGTTGCCTTGGTGCTGTCGTTCTGCAGGGGGGACCCCACGCTGGTCAAGCTCAATGTGGCAATAACGTGCGGCTACCTTCTGTATGGTGAGTCTGCCCCTTCCCTGTCTGTGTGTGTGTGTGTTTTTGTAATTATCACATTGTGGGGACCAGATTTCTCCACAATGTAATAAAAGCCAGTAGCTTTTTACCTCGTGTAGACCACTTTCTCGGTTCCCACAATTCGATAAAAACCTGCTAATTTGACCTTATGGGGACCAGTTTCCCGGTCCCCATAAGGGAGAACGCAATTTCCTAAAAATCTGTGACTCCAATCAAACAACTATAAAATGCAGAAACTCTTGTATTTTGTTTCGTTACTTCTGGTTATGGTTAGGGCTGGGTAGGGGTTAAGGTTCTCATTGTTAGCATTAGCATTTTTCCCATAGAAATGACAGGAAATCAGCTAGCACTGACTGGAACTTGACTAGCACTGACAGGAAATCGACTAGCACTGACAGAAAATCGGCTAGCATTGACTTGAATTCGGCTAGCACTGACATGAACTCGGCTAGCACTGACATGAACTCGGCTAGCACTGACAGGAAATCAACTAGCACTGACAGGAAATCGGCTACCACTGACAGGAAATCGGCTACCACTGACAGGAAATCGGCTACCACTGACAGGAAATCAACTAGCACTGACAGGAAATCGGCTAAAATTGACAGGAAATCGGCTAGCACTGACATGAACCTGACTAGCGCTGACAGGAAATCGGCTAGCGCTGACAGGAAATTGACTACCGCTGACAGGAAATTGGCTAGCGCTGACAGGAAATTGGGCAGCACTGACAGGAACTCGGCTAGCGCTGACAGGAACTCAACTAGCGCTGACAGGAAATCAACTACTACTGACAGGAAATTGGCTACCACTGACAGGAAATTGGCTACCACTGACAGGAAATCGGCTAGCGCTGACAGGAAATCGGCTAGCGCTATCTACGTTTAGTTCTACTTCTAGAACCGACTCAGCGAGTTGGGTGTGTACCCCCAACATTAAATTGGGCTTCATTCGCCCTCCCCCACCCCCAGAAAATAAATCTTTATATTTATATGATTAAGTTGTTCCCTCCCAATACCAAACCTTCTCTTATGCCACTGCATTTCACCATTGAGCGCTTCAGGCCCCCAACTCCCGATCGCTCCTGGGACCCTCTGACCCAACCTTCTCAAAAATGCACATCGCTCTGAATAAAAGCATTTGCTAAATGGGGTAAATGTAAGATCCCCATTTTAGCCTTAAGGGTCATGCTGGATCATTCATTGTTTACCCGCTTATTTAAATTCCATGGGTTTTCCCCACTGAGATGGACACAGAGCATGTTCAGAACGGGAACCGTGGACCGGAGATGCCACAAATAGCTCCGGGTCACTGGGAATGACAGGATTAGAGGAGGCATGCTTTATTTGAATGCCCCCCCCACCGCCCCATTGACCCGACTGTCCCCACTGTCCCCCCCTCCCCCACAGACCTCCTGCTACTGGCCTGCAACTGGAGCACCATGGGAGATGGCTTCTTCGTGTGCCACCACCTCGCCGCGCTCTACGCTTACGGATACGTCTTGGTGCGCCACCCCTTACCGACGGGCACAAAGCGGCCGTGTGCCCGGGTTAATGTTCAGACGACCGCACAGCGCAGTCAGGGCCCGGTCATGAGCACAGTGTGCGCTGGTTCTGATGCTCAGATGATCATGAGATTAATAGAAAATACTTGGTTATGATGCTAGTTATTTTTAGCGTGTTTTTTTTGCCTGTGTTCACTAAAGTGTACTGCGCTAAATTGAGCTTTTTAATGGTTTCTTTGATCACGACCTGTTCTGTTTCCTGTTTGGTTGCCCCAAAGGCTTATTTGTCTGAATTTTGTAAAAGGACACCCCCACCCAAACCCCCATCAATAGCCCCCGTGTCTGTGTGTGCCTGGCAGAATCGTGGAGTGCTGCCGTATTTCGCCAACTTCCGCCTCATTTCGGAGCTGTCTACTCCGTTTGTCAACCAGAGGTAAGAGCTCCGCGGCTGCTCTGTACTCCCGTTTGCAAACATCGCTATCCCGCCGACGCAAGCGGCCCCTGGGGCGGGAGGGGCACCTCAGGGGGCGTGAAGCCACTTAGGCAAGGCGTCAATCCTGCGTGCGGAGACTCCAGGAGGCAGCGAAGGCGAGAGACACCTGAGCGGGAGGAACGAGGGAAGAAGATACCGCTGCACAAGTTCCTGTTAGCAAAAGCTAATGCCCTCCCTCGGGGGGCTTCGGTTGCCCTTATTTGCATAGCTAAGATCAGATGGAAATCTACAATGGTGCCAGTCATCATGAGGTCACATCTCCATGATGGAGGCCATGATCCACGATCTACTTACTCACCACCTCCATCACCTCTTTAGGAAACCCCTCTTATGTTCCTCACTCCTTTACTTGTCTCTGCCAGCTGCTAAAAGATCTGATGTCTGCTTCTCTGCAGATGGTTTTTCGAGGTCCTCTCCATCCCACGCACCAACCGCCTGGTGGTGGCCAACGGTATGATGATGACGCTGGTCTTCTTCCTGGTCCGCATCGCCGTCATCCCCTCCTACTACACCCGAGTGGGGGCTACCTTCGGGACCCCTGCCTTCGTCCGCTTGGGAATGGGACCCCAGGTGGCTTGGATCGTCTCCAGCGTCTGCTTGGACATTCTGAACACCATCTGGATGTACAGGATCGCCAGGGGCTGCTACAGGGTCCTGACAGGGCGAGGCAGGGCGGGCAAAGGTGGCCCCGACATCAAGCAAAACCATAGCAGTGACCTCAACAATCACACAGACTGAGGCCGGCGCACGGGAGATCGATTCTCTAGGTGTGGTCCCACCCTCAACGATGAATGACCTTAACCTTGGGATTCCTATCCTATTAGGCAGTATTCACGCATGCCCCCTCCCCTCCTCCCCCTCCTCCCCCTCACTGATGAGCCAGCCAGCCGCCCACGTCATCTCAGATGCCAAGATGCCTCTCACCCCGTCGCCTTGCCCCCTTCCCGGAGAAGCAACCCATCCACCTGCATGCGGGCTTCTGGGACGGCTTAAGCTCAGCTCCACCGTAACGAAACTCCAAGTGCCTGGACAGCTGTACCCGGGGAGGGCCTTAGAAACAGCCAGACTGCGAACCCCCGCGACCCGGACGAGGAGACTGCGGGAGGAGGGGCGGACGGGAAGCCATTCAGGGAAACTGGGTCGACCTCGTGGCCCACGTCGCCGAGTCCGACGTGAAAGCAGTCAGTCTCAAAAAGCGTCCCTGAATCCGCTCGCGTCATACCCGTGAGTCTCTGCTGCTTACCGTCTTCCTCGTGGGGGGAAAAAATCTCCGACAACGTCTTCCGCTGTCTGTCACACTGCTGACAAATCTTACAAACCCGCTCTCTCATCACGCTTCTGAGTTCTTTTGTTTTTTTTGTACGATCTCAGATATTGGGGGCGGGTACATTTACTCTTCATACCTCTCAGACTGCTCGTGTGTATTTTTTTATGCATGTTTAGGATTCTCCTGGACCTCGAGGCTACGAGGGACAGGTGGGCAGGTCGCGCTCTGCCTGCTGATGTGCTGAACCGTGCTGCGTGTAGGAGAGTCATTCAGTGTTTCAGAGGGAGTTCTGTCGTAGTAGGGTGTATGTAAGTTGCGGTGAGGTGGGAAGGTGCCTTGTCAAAGCCGTTTTTGGTGCTTTTCGGTCTTCTGGCCTGAATTATAAAGGGATCTGCTGTGAAGGGATGTATCGGTAGTTTTCTTCTCTCTCTCTCTCTCTCTCTCTCTCACTTTTTCTTTCCCTCTTAAATCAAGTGCTACAGATTTATAGAAGAGCAGCAGCTGGGATGAGGCTAATCGACACACATTTTTTTTCCCCCCCATTCATTACCACCCAGCACTGGATGACTGTTAATTTTGCCTGTTTCGTTTGGCCGTTATTTTCAGCGCCAAACCCACATGGTGGAGGAGTGTTGTCAGTTTGGACGGCGGCTAAACGACAGCGTTAAGAGCACGCAGTTATCCGAGATACACTTATCCCCCTGAAATTTTCTTTATTAGAAGCGGCAGAGTAAGGTTTTGTATCCTCAGCCACAGTGAAGGAGGCAGGTGCTGAGATGCGGGTTTGACAGTTTCACGCTGATTTTGTAATGTGGAAGTGGACGCCCCCTAGTGGCTGCCATTGTGCAGCGGGATTCCCCCCGAATTCTCTGGACTGTCTGTCTCTCCTTGGTGGCACGGTGACACCTCATGCCGTTACCGCTAATGAACGTGCTTGTCTGGTGTCCCCGGGATTAACGTGCGGGGCATGTTTGAGACGTCTGGCTGTACAGCTACGTCCTAAAAAGACGGAGTGAGTGACTGGTTCGTGTCTTGCCTCTAGCTGTTTTGACATTCACCATCGGGGTTGTTAAAGCGTGGGGGTGGCGTATTGGTGTGTTGCACAGATATCGTCCATGAATACCAGACCTTGCCATCTTCTGTTATTTATTATCAAACTACAAATATATATGGTGAAATTTAAACATAGAGAATGTAAAGGGACAGCATTAGCAACACGGAAAGGACAGGATGTGCATCTACTTATACTGACTCGCTAGATTTTTCCTTGGAGGATGTAAAGTATATTTTAAAATATGGGAAGATGAGCCAAGCTGATAATCAGACTGCGTCCTGCGCAGGACTGGGCTCAGCATCCTGGCAGTTCTGCTGCTGGTCTGGAGGACACCCGGACCCACAGGCTAGGCGGCAACCTTGACAGATCGCCCTGCACCCCAGCCTTGTACCGATCCACGTCTGTCCCAGGTCCTAAAAATCACAACGGTCTTATTTTATTTTATTTGGGGAATCGTGAACAATTCCGCTAACTCATTTGTAGTATTACGGTCTTGTATCTTAAAGGCTACATCTACTGAGGACCAAGGATTATGACCTCATGATGTTCTGTCTTGTACAGGCCAATGGCATCTCATACCATGTCTGAAGACACTGAGATCACATAAATAGGCGGAATCGATTTTTTTTAAAAAATGACACTCTTTTGCCTCAGATATCCAGTTATTCATATAGTCAAATCTAATATCCTCAGTAGCCATTTTAGAAACATAAAGTACTGCTCCTTCCCGATTGGATAATACTGCAGGTATCACATGGGTAGTAATTCTGGAAACCTGAGCTGTGGTTATGGCAAATCCCAGTAACTAGTTCAAACGAGGAGATCAGAGGGTACTGAACCTCAAGTGACGTCAAGCAAGCTACAGACAGAGCGGTGGTCAGCTGTACATGCAGTGCGCGTTACAGGTCCTTCCGTGTTTCGGAAGTGCAGTTCTATTATACGATAGAGGCAAAAGCCAGGTCTGGCCTTGCATGATACCTAGATACACCTAATTTTCACCGTTGTCCAGTTTGAGAGCTCTAAAGGACAATTTTTACAGTTTGTAATGTTTTTTTTTTTGCCTTATGACTGAACAAAAAAACATCAGAAGAAAGCCTTGCATTATTCCATCAAAAAGGCTTCGTGAATCCTTTAAAATGAATGCAGGTATGGGCGCTCAATGTTTAAAAAAAGAAAAAAGAAGAAAAAACTTTTGTTTTACGGCTACCATTAGACAACAACTAATAATATTGTAACAGAACTCAAGGAAGGGAATTACTTGAAATGGAATTATATCAATAAATTTGATCATTGACTTGCGTATTTTGTCTTTTTTGCATGAATTTAATATGGCGTTGGATATTGTTGTTGTTTATAAGGAGGAGCCCCAGAACAGACCTGTGTGATTCTGGGATTTGGAGGTAAGAACAGATTAGGTAGGTGGGTGGGGGGGGGAGGGGGTCTTTTGAAGGGGCATTTTTACAATATGAAGGGCTGAAGATCAGGCCTCTTTGCCTGTGAAGAGAAGGTTGCTGGTTCGAATCCCCTTGAGCAAGATCCTTAACCCACAGAAAAATGCTCTAGGGGCTCCGGATGGACGGCTGACCGTGGGCTCAGACCCCACGCTTTGCGTTCACCTCTTTATTTGTGTGTATGTCTTTAAAAAAAGCAGAGCAAGAAGGGATATGCAAGAAAGCACATTCCAGTGAACCTGTGCTCATGCTTGTATGACTGGCAAACAAAAGCTTCATTAAAGCAGAGCAAAGAGGAAACAGGACAGCGGCTGCGGCTGGCAAAGATGATAAAATCTGGGCTGATCTCATTACGCAGGTTTGGGACTGTTGAGGAAGAACCAACGTTTTATACCTGACTTAATGTGAAATGGGCTCATCAACTGCCGTCACCCCTCCCCAAGAGATCCACCCCCACATCTTACTCGGCTGTCTAGGTAACTGGTTTACCCGCACAAGCAGATTGATGGATAACGCTCTATGAAGAATTCATTTTGGAACAGGTTCATTCAGAGAACAGGTTCATTTAGAGAACAGGTTCATTTAGAGAACAGGTTCATTCGGTAACAGGTTTGTAACATGATTCCTGATTTTTGTGGCTGTATTTCCTGATCTATGGGGAGTGGAAAGATTGGAACCGGGTGCAAGATGCAGGTGCCATATCTCTCATTGCACAGTGGGGACCTTAAATCCTTACCTCGAGGTAGGTGTGGGGGGGGGGGTATGCTGGCTGAGTGGGCAGTGGGGGTTAAAGTCTTGCCCTTGCTGCATGCATGTAGGGAGCCTGCAGGGTCTCCTTGTATTACAGGCCTTAGTCCTGGGCTTTGTGTTTTTCGTGTAAGTTGAACAGCATGTGGACGGGTGACTTGGCACCTGTGTGTGTGTGTGCGCGTGGGTGGATTATGTTTTTATTGTATTGTGGAGACCAAATGTTCCCCACAATATGTGTTATTTTCACGTGGGGGCCATTCTCGTATTTTGTTTGCTTACTCATGGTTAAGGTTAGGGCTGGGTAGGGGTTAAGGTCGTCATGTTGGGATTAGAGTTTTCCCCATAGAAATGAATGGAGAGTCCCTGCAAAGATATAATTACAAACCTGTGTGTGTGTGTGTGTGTGTGTGTGAGAGAGAGAGGTCCAGGTATACATTACTTTGTGGGGACCATTTTTTTAGTCCCCACATGAGGAAACTCAATTTTATAAGAATATGTGACTGCAATCAAAAAACTAAAAATGTCAAAACTCTTGTATTTTGTTTGGCTACTTATGGCTAAGATTGTCATTGTTGGGATTAGGGAACTGCCCATAGAAGTGAATGGACGATCCACACAAAGATATGTGTACAGGCCTGTGTGTGTGTGTGTGTGTGTGTGTGTCCTCTGATGGCCTGGCACGCCGCTCCGGGTGTCCCGCCTTCTGTCCCGAGCGGCCTGGGATAGGTTCCAGGCTTACTGTGTGAAGATGGATGAAGACGACTCAAATGAAGAAGTAACACACTGTTAGCAGGATGAAAGGTGAGATTTGCGCTTTAGAAAACATGCCGCTCATTGGGACTTTATTCCTAAAGACTTGAACATTGTTTAGTGGGCTAAGGGACATTTACATGGAACCTCAGAAGAGCAGGCTGGGGGGGGGGGGACTGGCCATTTGTCAGGCAGGCTGGGCCAAACAAAATCCCCTCCACCAATCACACGCCTTCCTCTCCCAGCATACGCTCGTTTTTAGACAAGATCTATGGAAGAGTTTCTACTGATCGATTCCCATAACGGTCATCTTCTTGAACCCTTTGGGTGAGTTATTGATTTCAGGCTGCATATATCAGTTTTTGGTTGAGTGGCCTACAGTATTATTCTCTTCAGTGATATCAAATTAACAAAATATATAAAATGTGTGTAGCTCACTAGGTTAGCAATGTGTGTGCATGTCTAGAATGTCATTGGTTTGAATCACGTGACTTATAGAGGTGATCATGCTGCCACTGGGTCCTTGTTGGCTAATCTCTTGTTTTCCACGCCTGTATTTAATTTTAGACAAAAGTATAGGTAAGCAGAATAAATGTCTGTAATTAAAAATAGGGCTATATATCTCTTATAATCCGAAGCATTTTAATAAAGTCTGAATTCTAGTACCACAAAACCAAAACACTGTTCTAATGTCCTCACAATTTCGCCATTTAACATTTTATTCCCAATAGGAGAATAAACCAAATTACTAAATGCTCCTAGCTGAGACCAGCTGTCAGCCATAGCCTAATAAATAAATAAATATATGAATCAATTTCTGAAACTTGAATGAATACATTGTCCTAACGTTGGCATCGTGCCTCATACCTAAGCGGCGTAGCGTGAGCCCCAGTGCCTCCTCTCCACTGCTGCGGAATGAGTGCAGTGTGAATGACAGTGATCTGATTAAACGAGTGGCGCACAAACCCCCCCCCCCCTCCCCCGACTGCCTGCATGCTGAGCATGTTGCAGCTTCTGCCAGTCTGGCAAAGCTAAGGCTCCGCTTCCTTTAAATAGCCAAGTAACGCTGAGCATAACAAGGTGGGACTGGAGAAGTAATTCGTGGGGAACGGGGGGGGGGGGTAGAGAGTCTCTCTTCTCACTTTCCCAGTCCTTCCGACTTTTTTGGCTTTTAACCTCTGGAAGAGCCTTTACTGATCTCGTATTACATTACCGTACGCATGACTCTGTGTGCGACTTCGGAGGTCATCCTCCGAAAGATCTGCTCATGACACACGTTTATAATTTTACTGAAAATGCGGCATCACAAACAATATTACTGAGAGATTGAATTAAATTAATGATTATTAATTAATAATCATAATTATAAGTCAATATACATATATTATGGATATAATTATATACATAATTATATATAATAATATATAAATAATCATAAATGGTTGTTCCTAGCTGCCATACATTCGGTTCCGTATCAGAAGTTTTAACCAACTTAAGTGCTGTTCAATGCGGAGTGTCTCCTGCAAACCCTTTCAGGCAGATGTGTTGGACTAGATGATAATAATTGACACTTTTATTAATCCCCGTGGGGAAATTCTTTTTACGCCTCCCTCAACTTGCTCTTTGTAGAGCAAGCTGTCCGCGAAGGGCAGCCACCCGTAGCGGCGCCCAGGGAGCTGGGGGTTGAGGGTCTTGTTCAAGGACCTGGGCTTGGGTCAGCCATCCATCCAGAGCCCCTAGCGCATTTTTCTGTGGGTTAAGGATCTTGCTCAAGGGGATTTGAACCAGCAACCTTCTCTTCACAGGCAAAGAGGCCTGATCTTCAGCCCTTCATATTGTAAAAATGCCCCTTCAAAAGACCCCCCCCCCACCTACAGTACCTAACCTGTTCTTACCTCCAAATCTCAGAATATCACAGGTCAGGAGGCTGGGCTTGAACCGACCTTGTGATTACAGGCACACGGCTTAGCCCACTGAGCCACACGCTGCCGTGTGATGATGTGAGGTGCGGGAATGGCCTCGCTCTGCTGCCGCTATCGCGGGTCAATATCTGCAATGCAGTGTCTTCGCATGATGACAGTTCATGAGCCGCAGATGATCCAAAGCCACTGGCGGAGGAATCGCAGTCTTTTCCCTGAAAAACTCCCCCTCCGATGGCACCCCTCCCGGTGTGTGCACCTAACGCACTTCTCCGCACCTCCTTTTTGCCCAAATAAAGTCTTCACATACCTCCTGTGTATTTTTTTCTCTCCCTGGGCAAGCGATTTGACGCAAAGGTCTCATAAACATCTGAGCCCCACTCGGGACACCAGGAGAACCAAGTATTACAGCTTTCTCAAACATCAAACCCTGATTGCTATAATCGTTCACGTCATAAAAGGTAACCGAACGAGCTCACAAACATAGAGAGTGCTTTAATACTTTGCCTGGTAAACTGTCTGGCAATTAATAGAACATGTGTGCATCACGGAAAAAACATTAAACTAGTTTAGACCAGTAAATTGATGTGGTTAAACCCATGTGATGTGGATTGTTGTTTCTGGGATCCCACTCAGAAAGACATTTCGCCCCCCTAGTGTAATGACTGTTGTGGCCAACAGGGGGCCCCCAAACTTCAGGACTAACTTCTCTGGGGACCCTAGGCTGACATGGTTAGGGGGCCATTTTGAGGTTTTTTGGGGGTCAATAGTGAAACAAAAGGGAATTAAAAACAACGAAACATCATTAATATATAAATGAAAGGGTGGGATGTCAGCGGTAAAACTTACGGATCAGGGTGGGGGCGGGAATGCTGTTGGTAAAATTTGCTGATGGGGTCAATAAGTCAAATTTGAGAAGTTGATCATTCCCGCTTTTACTAAGATTAATCTTGAATTTCTACATACATTCATTTAATTGTGTTCTCTCCATATCTGTCTACCACTCTAGCAGGACATTATCCAAGACCAGGGAGATGTGATGCTAGTCTTGTATCTCTCTGCTGTTTTCTCCTTGTTACTTTGTGTCAGTTCGCTTGGCAGTGAAGGGCCGATAGACTCCAGTGTTACACGAAAGTTGGGTGGTCTCAAAGCAGGAATAGTCCATTACAATAGGCACAGGGGTAACTTTGTCTATCCTGAAAACTGTAGCTAAAAATGCAAATAACATACATGATATTGCTATCATTTAAATGATCACATTATATTCCATTCTTAAATGTAACTTCTGGAAATTGTGTCTTCATGGGGCCCCTAGTTTTCCGGGGCCCCAGGCAGCTGCCTACACTTGCCTTATGGTAAGACCACCCCTGGCCCCAGGAGAGTGCATGGTTTGAGTGGTGGTAATGAAATGAAATCAACCCCTACTGGTTATACCTGAATTATACCAGGATATATGTTACTGATATTTTGCCTTATTAAGGCCGCATTTTCATTTAGTGGACCAGGCGGCTGCATTTAACTAAGAGCAGTGGACTGAAAATGCAAAATCTGAACCTTAAAGTCATACAGTTTTATGCAACATATTAGAAAATAGTATAATTTAGGCTTTTGTACCTAATAAAGACTGAATATGCCGCTGGCGTAGAAGATTCTCTTTCACAAAACTGGCGGCGCATCTCTAATAGTATATTTTTTTGCCTGCAGGTTTTAAACATACAGAATGAATTATGGCTGCGTGTATTTAGGAATGTGCCCGTTGACGCACATGTGTGATGAGTAAAGCTCTTTGACTCATCATTTGTTTCACATATGCAATGTGCAAGAGCTATAATGATGTAGAATATCCCATAAATGTCATGAATGCTTTTCTGATGGCATTAGCACGTGCTTTTTAGCTATTCTCGTATTTTTAAGGCTTTCTGTCCATCCTAGGCTCATACTGAAAGGGGGAGAATACTCTTCTTACACTTTTTAATTCTTGGCAAAGGATGTGGTTGTAGCTCATATATTCATAAAATGTTATTTCACTGGACTGGGGGTTTGAGGAAAAATACCAAACCCATCCATCCATCCATCCATCCATCCATACCCAACCCATGGCTGCTATATTTGAAACTGACTGTGTGTGTGTGGTGTGCTGTCAGTTAATAATTTAATTTGGTATGTAAAAGTGAACAAAAGAAAAAACACAAGCACCCCCCTTTAGCAAGTGGCTCATAATCTATTTCTTTAGAGCTTCTCGTTCAAATCCCTGCTGATGATTGTGAATCTTAATAGCACATTCAAAGTCATTCATTATTATTGACAGTTATGCAAAATGTATCGATTTATTCATCTTCTGCTGCTTTTGTCTCCAGTTCAGTCTCTGCAGTCTGCTGATCCCCGCAGCTTCACGTCTGGAAGGCGATTGACGGCAGCTGCCGCTTGCTCCTCACATCCACATCCCCGCTGGCACCGCCTTCTTGTCACAACTGCCAATCGACTGACACCATATAGGAAGAATTAATAATGATTGGAGGAGTGAGTTGCCACTCACCAGCCATCAGCCAGTAGCTCACAAGCACCTGACACTCTGGGTTCTGTGTGCAGTCTTTAAAAACCTTTCTATCTACTACTGGTGTAGTGAAATTATTTTATTCCACCACTAGGGGCTTCTGGTCACAGTCGGAACATTGCTTTAATCGCAGCTGACGTACTGTTTAAACCTAAATGATGGACTGAGCTTTATATGTGACCATGAGCACAAAGAGAGACCTATTCTGCGTAAAAACAATCTGAAGTAGCTTGCAAAACCACCCTCTTACATTTAGTTAAAACCATTTAGGCTCAGTGTCATTAAGTGCCATCAAAGTGGCTTACACAGAACACAGAACACAGAACAGATCTGGTTCATGTAATAAGGGGCAATGTCGGAACTCTCGGTGGTGAGTTAAAACACAATGTGTATCTCAGTTGCTCAGGTGGTATTTGGTTGCTCATCTAGTCTTGGGGGAGACTGAACTGGGAGTGGGCAGAACCTTCTTGAGGAGGGATTCCTGGCAGCAGATGGGAGACCGAAGTTATAATATGTAAGTCTAAAATTGCAAGTGAAAACATGAGTATACAGACACAGAGATTAATTCCTGAAACAATTAAGGGAGATCTGAGAAGAGTGGAAGGGGTTTGAGATGGTGAGCAGAGCCATGTTACAGCGTGAAGATGGCACTGGGGTGAAGATGAATGGGCAGATTGGCTGCTTACGTCCTGCACCATGGGGGCCCATATCTCCTCCTATATCTTCCCCGTTCCATCTTAAAAGGTGGTGATCAGTCGGAGCATTAAGGACCTAGAAATACATTGTAGGAAGACAATGTCAGAAAGGAGTGGATCTAATGTCACGGATTTAATGGTTCCAGAAGTGATGATTGCAGAAACAGGGGTAGAATAAAAGTAGAAGAGAGGGCAGACAGTGGAGGACATTAAAACTGGAGGGAGAAACAAACCGTGAAGATTATTTGTGTCAACACATTGCTACCAGATGAGACTCAGAAGAGACTTGCAGAGTGATTCATAAGCTGAATAGAGACATAGCGTATGTCGTCCTCACTTTGCATGTCTTTCCCTTGTCTTTGCGGCGACACACAGACAGAAAACATAAGAACACGCTGACAGGACTCCTTGATGACGTCACTTCACCTAAACTAGTACTGTCCATAACAAAAGAATCTGAGTGTCTGATTGCCATCTCTGTTACGATGCTGGACTGCATATCTGTAAACTTGTGATTTTACAGTGTCGCGCACTGAATTTTATTTATTTATTTTGCAAAACAGTGTTCATATAATTTAACAAAACATTGAATATAGTTTCCGGTCTATTTTTTTTTATTATTTTAAAATTATTAAATTTGTGAAACAACTATACAGTATTTCAATTATACAGTGAATAATATGTATGAACACATGTATGTCGACCTGGGCCTTCAGTCGAATGTGAATTTCTAGATATTAAAATATTCGAACTGAGATGTATTCTTAAATAGCCCTTTTATAACAGAGTAATATGTATTCATTAAATGATTTACTGTTTGTGTAGTGGTGTATTAGAATACAATATATAGGTTTGAACAAGAATGCTTAACGTAACATCCCTTATGTTGTGCTTACTTTTACGTATTACATTATTTTGGCAGTCCATTCAACCAGAGACTGAACTGTAATGTATTGAAAATGTCAAGCGCATTTAGCTTTCTAAAGACGTATACGTTAAATACGTTTTCTGTATGCTTTGGTGTTTATGTAAATGCACACAAAGTGTAAACATAATTATGACAGTTGTTAAGCATCTTCAGATTCATCTCTATCTGGAAAAACTGAGACGGCCGGAGCTTAATGCCATGTGGGTGACATCACCGAGACACTGAGACATCGTCCTGATTGGACGGGGGGCCCAGCCAATGGCGACACGCTGCGGACACGCACAGATGGGAAGAGTTTAAAAAAGATTGAGTAAAGTTCTGCTGAACCGGTCCAGTCTTTCTCCAGGGAGAGCAAAAAAGAAAGAAAAAAGGCGAGGAGGGAAGAAAAAACAATATCATCACTGTACTTTCCATCGATGGCCATATGACTTCCCCCTGAACTGCACGTATCTCGAAGCGGAGATATATATTTATGTGGCATTATTTAATATTTTAATTAACACGTTAAATCGACTGTGAACTTAAGAAACGATGGCGACCCATTTCAGCAAGGGACCGACTTTCGGACTGTCAGCTGAAGTCAAGAATAAGGTACTATTTTGTGCAATATCAGTCCATTTAAATCAGCAAGGTGCATTTACGTAGCGGTAGAAGTCGGTGTGTTCTGCTTTTAATGATACTTTTTATCATTATTTTTCAGTATTTTTGGTGCGGTATAAATAGCTGACAACGTCGCCTATTACCTGTCATTTTATGTATTTGTTCGGTCTCGGTTTACGTGAGCATAATTGCACATACACGTGCGTGTATTTATATAACCACTCTTAGTGTGGAGCTTGTGGCGTTTCGTTCTTCATTTCCCTTGTCTGTCATTTTATAGGTAATGTATAGCTGAGGTAACACTGGTCTGCACAGTACCACACATGGCTTTGTTGCCAAGCTCATTGATTGTCAACACAGGGTCTTTCAACTCTGATCTCAGCCTCGCAGAGATGTTAATTTATATATTTACAGTATATGCTACATGGGCAATCCCATGTAGCACAGGGCATAGGACTGGGGGAGACTCTGGAAAGGATGCTGCCCAACAAGGTAAGGAACTGTAAAGCCCATAGGTGGGATTCGAACCCTTGACCAACAGCGCTACCCACTGAAAAATGACAGTGACTTGCATAAGTTGTCAGTCTGTTAAGGACCAGTCTCGAGTCTCTGACTGTCGAGTCAGGAAATCACTTTGAGGTTTTATCCAGCATAAGACACAGTGATCTTCTCTTTAGTTTTCAGCAATGAAATAGGAGCGACATCACAGAAGTGCCACTCAGAAGGTCTCAGCACACCTGTCTGCCAGACTCTTGGGATTGCGGTTGAATTAGCACAAACTTTGACTCTAGAGTTTTCTGCAAAAAACAAAGACGCCTTCAAGCACATGCAGTACAAATACGTGCTATAAATATACCTGACGAAATCAAGCACAGGTGGCCGCTTTATTTGCTAGGTGACCAATTACACAGGTAAATATTATACTTCTCTGTAGGACAGCGCAGACTGTGGCCAGGGGACCTCATTCCCTTCCAAAGCACATAAATATTCAGCAGAAAGAAAAACTTTCTTTAAAGTGTCTTCATCGTTGAGTTTTGCAGGCCCAGAAATCCAGAACAGCGCAGCTGGGAATGGAACATTTTTGGTATTCATGTTCTGTGATTAAGTCATTAGATTTATTCCCCGTTTATTCAGCTGTGACCATGACAGTGTTTATTCTGTACTGTATTTACGTGTTTGGCCGTGCGTTCCTCGGGACCCTCTCAGCGGAGGGAATGTTTCGCAGACAGACAGACAGGTATCTCAGCCTCCTCTAACTTCTTTACCGACTCCTTTTATGGACTTTCCAGGATTTTCAAAATCATATCTTCAGTAAACAATTTATTGTAGGTTGGATATTATACAATTAAATGTAGTGATGTTGAGAAAATATGATTGGCATTGCTTGCATGTAGCTGAAATGATGCTGCTAGTTCTTTAAGAATTTTCTAGGTTTTTTTCCCTTAATTATATTGCTTTATCTTGAATTTAGTCCAGAATTTATTCCAGTCCAGAAATCCTTTCTGGCTCACTGGCTATGGAAATGAGATTCTGATCTAATTCTTAGTGGCAAGACCAAAACAAAAATAATTTTTTTTGGCAGAATCCGTCAGCTGGTTGGCCTTCCTTCAGCGTTGGGCTGTTTGGTTTGCCAGCGTACAGTGCATGACGGTGGTGCCCTTGCCAAAGGGCAGACCCCAAAAGTAGCCAGGAACGTGGGAAGGAGACCAGCAGCAAGGCAGACAGGGTCGTTTCTGCCCTGTTTGGTGTGTTGGCCCAAACGGCGATGAAATACCAGTTTGTGTTGGCTCCCCTCATTCTGTGTCAGGGAAAACGGGAATTCTGAACAGGACTAGGGGGTGAGCGAAAGATATCCCACTGTCAGGGAATTTAAAATATGGCGACTGCCTTCTTACAAACACGGAAACACAACAGAACAGTTAATCAGTCTGACTTCAGCAAAGAACATTAGTTGTTGACACTGAAATTATACAATAGTAATGAATCTCACTGTACATTTACAACTCATATCAGGGTCCTGCAAGGCTGTGGATAAAATACCGCTGATGGTTTTTTTCTTAAAAAAAACATGATAATTATTAACGGTACTTTGGACTGATTGATGAATCATACAGGCATAAAATCTGCAGTCCACATGGTGATCTGGAACAGGATTACAGAAATATGTAATGACATAATAGTTGTTCAAGTAAAATATAGATTAGGCAGTTTAATTTGGCCATTTTTTTATGATGTTCTGTATCAGCATTTGCATGCAACAGGACCCTGTGCAGATTGAACGTCTGTTGGTCCTCCTGAAAGACAGACCACTGAAGCAGAGCTTCACACGTGACACATTATGTCACACTTCCACCGGTGATGGGCATGTGGTTTTGTGGGACAAATTTTAAATGGATATTCAAAGATTCCAAGAGTCGGACTTCCCAGATATCATGGATGAGTTCCAACTTGGAGGAGAGTTAATGAATCGGTATAGTAGAAAACCACATTAATGTACCCAGCCTGCTTGACTCCTACATGTGACCTGTTATCTTCTAATCCCAGCTGGCCCAGAAGTATGACTCGCAGAAGGAGGAAGAGTTACGGATTTGGATCCAGGAAGTTACCGGCCGCAGGATCCCTGAAAATTTCATGGAGGGACTGAAGGACGGGGTCATCCTGTGCGAGTGAGTGAATGCTGGACAGGATTGAGTCATCATGAGGTCATCAGAACTGTTTGTTTGGGATGCAGAATCACCCAGAACTCCATATAATTCCATGAGAATTCCGCATATTATTGTGGGAATTTCATGGGATAAAATGAAATCGGTGACGATCTCAACAAACTGAAGGTTGAATTGCCTGTCCTTTGGACAAAGTTCTATTTACCCAGTTTTGTTGTATGTGGTTTTTTTGACATATTAGTTTTATTGATTGATTGATTGATTGATTCCCTTTATTGCTGTTGCAATTCACCATGTCACTAGTCACAAGTACCAGGGAAAAGCAGGCCATCAACCCGACCACACATACACAAACATTATAGGGGGGCAGACAGGTCAGGAAGACAGGGGACTGTAGGAAAACTCAGAGAAACAAGATTACGTGAGGAGAGTGGAGGTGAATAAAAAAAACAGCCCCCAGACTGTACTCCAGTAGGGAGTACAATATAGGAACAGAAAAAAAAACACCTCAGCAATAAGCACATAGTCACCACAGCTCACAACACTAAGTCGAGACTTGCAACAGGGGAGGGGAATGGGGAGGTGGAGGTCGTCCAGCATAGACAAACAGCCATCCGGTCCTGCAGCCAATCCGCGCTGTACAAGGACCCGCTCGTTCACGCTGGGGGATATGAAGCGGCGAAGTTTATGTTTAAATTATTATGATATATTTCAGTGTTTGATACTAATTGCTGTGCATGATAGGTTTGTGTTTTACACCGAGTTTAAACTTAAATTCTAAAATATTACCTCCTTATTACAATGTATGACAGAGAAAAGACAGTTTTGTCACTGACCCCAGAAACTGAAGCTTTTATCTTTCCATCTTTGACATCTCTGGCGTCCAAGTACCCAAGAGTGTTATTTTATTGATATCTAATAATAATAATGATAATTGGCCCTTATGAAGTATTTTTCTTGTGCTGTTCTGTTGTCTGCTAGGCTGATCAAAAAGCTCCACCCTGGCTCTGTGAAAAAAATCAACACCTCCTGGCAGAGCTGGTACCAGGTAGCTGCCCAGTGCGGATGTGGAAGTGCGGCGGGAAAGCGACACCATCGCCGTTTTAGTGCCGGTCCATAAAGGCTTCCCTCGGACCTGCAGCTGAGGTCATACTCTTGGCTTGGAAGATGCATATATTTACATTCCCTGTCACAATCAGATTGTTAAATTGAGTCCATCCCAGTATATGTGTATATACTGGCTTCCTCTGAAAAATGACTGGCTGTCCTTGGCAATTTGGGGGAAAATAAAACTCCCCCTGCCCACCCCCCTCACCCATTTTATTGCTCAAATAATTACGTAAACTGAAGGAATGGATTAATTCCCAGGAACTCCCTGTTGAGGAGTGAGCAGACTGTGTCTTCGAGATACTATACACATGCAGACATCTGGAGTTTCTGTTCCCACACATGCATTGCTATAAATATTATATATAAAATTATATTTTGCACAATGTTGGGAGGGACAGGGAGTCTCTAGGTCAGGTCTATAGTAGAGTGTTTTGTGTCACTTTACAGTAGAAATAGTTATGTTGATTACTATATTACATATTTGAATTATGAGTTGTTCTACATGATTAATATAGGTATGTTTCCCAATGCACTGTGCAAAAGTCTTAGGCAATCAAAGAAAATGTTTAAAGCTATTTATCTTGGTAGTAAGTATATTTTTGTTTAGGGAAAAAACAATTTAAACATTAAATTAAACATTAAATAGGCACATTAAAAGTAACATAAAGAATTTCTTCTTCTTTACTTCGTTACTTATATCTTGTTGCTTGGCTACAACTCAATGAGGTGTTGATTAGTGAAACGTGTCGTGCTAATGCCCGAGGCAAACAATCCATGGGTATATTGGACGGTCGCTGCAAATACAGGGTTGAACTTTAGGGAAGGTTTTGAAAATAGCTAAGCTAACATACTTTGACAGACATGATATCATACTTTTACGCCAACATCATTTAACTTCCTTCACGTCGCCTAATACTTTTGCATAGCGTTGCATGTTTTACTGATTTATCACTTTGTATCATTTTTATGCTTCATATTTACCATTGAGCTGGAGAATATTGGCAATTTCGTCAGAGCCATCACAGACTATGGCCTGAAGCCACATGACATCTTTGAAGCCAATGATTTGTTTGAGAACGTCAACCACACTCAGGTCCAGAGCACACTGATCGCCCTGGCTGGACTGGTGAGTGCAGCATTTATGAAAATGAAACAATGATTGCCACTATTTATCTGGAGCGCACTGTTACATCTCCAGCGTGTTTATCTCACTGTAGGAGTTTGTCCCTGAACTTCTAGAGTCCACAGCCATAATTCCTCACTTTCATTTCTAGGCAAAGACTAAAGGATACCACACCAAGCAGGACATCGGCGTGAAGTATGCTGAGAAACAGCAGAGACACTTCAACCCCCAGAAGCTGAAAGATGGATGCAACATAATCGGGCTACAGGTGACACAGCCTTATCATAAACTATTAAATTACTATATTTAAGTATTTCATAATAATTCTGCTAATTGTATATTTTTTGTTACACTCAAGCCTAAAGCTACCTGTACAACAATATGCCTCCTCATCAGAAATATTTGCTCCTCATACCAGCAAATACTATGCCGTTTCAGATTTTGGAAAAACCTGGTTTCCTTCATTTGATGAAAAAAGCAGTGCCCCAGTACCAGGTTCCAGGGAGAACATACTTTTCCAGAAATGAAATCCCAAAAATGTAAATGGAGCTGAGAGCTGGTGTGGAGATAAAATGAAGGAGGGCAAATGGTTTTGGCGTAACAACACATCTGTGGACCAGCAATAGTGGTGGAGAATCCTTCATAAGCTTCGCTGTTTATTACGTATCATCTGAATGGCAAATTAAATCTTACAGCCTTAAAAACAGTTTTTCCACAATAACCACACAGCAGACAGTACTGCTGAGATGATAGACAGAAAAGAAGAGAGAGAAACAGGGTGTCAGTCATCTTTCCTGATAATGGCATCAGCATGAGAAAAGCCTTTGAAAATTTCCCTCGTGTTCGGTTTCCTTGTATTAGCCACAATTTAAACTTAGCAATCTCCAAAATCTTCAGGACGCAAAGTGTGGGATCTTATGTCTGTGTCGCATGCCGACACGTGGTGGAGGAAGAGAAGGGAATTACAAAAAGCAAGCAGAGTTGAAGATCCCTTAGCATTCATTGATCCAAGATATGGTGACCAGTTGGGGATCGGCATTTGAAATGGGCTCTGTAGGCCATCTATTGAGAATTTGCAGCAGAATGTAACGCATGGCATCTCATGTCATGCCTAAAGACAATGGAATTAGAGCCCTTAAAGACCTAAATAAACTCCTCGGAAGTCACCACGATTTCACTGTCACTTCAAAGTCCTGGCCTCACTGTCCTCCGTTAAGCCAGTGCTTGAACACACCAACAATTAGGTACTCAGTCCTGGTGCGAATGGCAGCATGCTCTCCAAACAACCGAAGGAAAGGGTTAGACAAGACCTGGAAGAGGGAAGATAGTGGATCCATGTTTTAAAGGGAACTTTACTGAGAATTACGATTAGACAGTGAATGCATGCATGCAGAAGGCAGCACCACTGGTACCAGTAAGGACCTCCAAAAATAGTGCCAGAATTTATAATGAGAAGCACCAGTCCTTCCAGCACTAGACTAAGGGTACAGATCTATCTGGACTGTTGCAGTGAATGACCAATGCAAGGCAGGCAAGAACGTCAGGACTATGGCCATATGCTGTCCAGGAAGAGATCAAGACTGAGCACAGAAAATGTGAACGTGCCAACGTTTCTTCACCATAACTTGGATTGACTATACTGAACAAAAACTTGCAGATACTGTAAATGGTTTGATGATATCAGTGTTAATTTAGAAGAGCAGGTCCAGATGCTGGATTTTATTTTTACAAATAATAATTGGATTTTTTTAAAGACACATGAAGTCAATCATAGTTTCAAATAGGCATAATTTCTACAGGACCAACAGATGTTCAAAAAAACAATAACACACACTATTTGGACAGAAGTATCAGAACACCTGACCATTACACCCACAGGAACTTTTATGACACCCCATTCTAAATCCATAGGTATCAGTTGGGAGTTGGCGCCCCCCTTTGCAGCTGTAACAGCTGCCACTCTTCTGGGAAGGCTTTCCACGAGATTTTGGAGTGTGTCTGTGGGAATTTTTGCCCATTCATCCAGAAGAGCATTTGTGAGGTCAGGCACTGATGTTGGACGTGAAGGACTGGCTTGTGATGTCCGTTCTAATTCATCCCAAAGGTGTTTGATGGGGTTGAGGTCAGGGCTCTGTGTGAGCCAGTCAAGTTCTTCCACACCAAACTCACCCAACCATGTCTTTATGGACCTTGCTTTGTGCACTGGGGCACAGTCATGCTGGAACTGAAAAGGGCCTTCCCCAAACTGTTCCTACAAAGTTGGAGGCATAGAGTTATGCAAAATATCTTGGTAGACTAGAGCATTCAAAGTTTCCTTCACTGGAAATGAGACCTAGCCCAACCCCTGCAAAATAAATCCATACCATTATCCCTCCTCCACCAAATTTTACAGGTGACACAATGCAGTCGGGCAGGTAATTTTCTCCTGGCATCCGCCAAACCCAGACTCGTCCATCAGGCTGCCACACAGAGAAGTGTGATTCGTCACTCCACAGAACATGTTTCCACTGCTCCAGAGTCCAGTGGCGGCGTGCTTTACATTACTGCATCCGACACTTGGCACTGCGCTTAGTGATGGGAGGCTTGCATGCAGCTGCTCGGCCATGAAAGCCCATTTCATGAAACTCTTGGCGCACAGTTCTTGTGCTGGAGTTTATGCCTGAGGAAGTTTGGAACTCTGCAATTATTGAGTCAACAGAGCGTTGGCGACATTTACTAAGGGACCTTCCACATTGCACTACTTCCACTTACAGTTGACCGTGTAATATCGAACAGGGTGCATACAGTGCAGTTGATAAAATTATTTAACTTTTTTTTCCTTTGTAGCGCTATATTTTGAAACCAAAAATAATAAAGATAACCCTGAAATTTAGGATATTTTACAATTAACTGTGCCACCCCTAATAGGGGATGGACAAAATACAATATGAAAGTAATTAAATCGCAGTTAGGTCGAAAGTCAATTATAGGTAATTATCAGCTGTAAAAGAGGACTGACAATCAGCACCCCGGGGCAGGTAACAATCCCCACATGCCTGGTATAAGAAGCATAGAACCTGAACCCCAGAGCCAAGGGGAAAGTAACATGACCACTATTCACGCTTTCTTCTCCGTCCGCATGGGCTGATGTTTGGTGATATCCAAAGGACGCCTTGGGCCCACAGTGGCTGTTGGTGCGTACAGCTCTCTTTCAGGAGGAACACAAAGCCAAAGAGTGGGGCCGTTTTACAGGAGCTGGTGCACCTTACGCTGCAAACGCTGTTCCCTCGTGAGCCTCCCATACTACAGGATGATAATGACGCTATACACAAAGGCAAACACCAGGATGAACCCTAAACTTCCCACGGCTTCCTGAAGCATAAATCCCAAACATCCTTCAATGTTTATGTGAAATTCTGAAGCAGATTTCCACCAATTATAGGCTTTCTTCTTGAAGAATGGTCCAATACCCCACTACACACACCTGTATGATGGCATTCCAAGAAGGAATGAAGCTATTTTGAAGGCAAACAGTGGCCATACAGCCTATTATATCCTCAATATTGATATATTGCTTGGTGTTTACTTTGCCCCCCCTATACGTTCATAGATGTTTCATAAAGAACTTCATCGACCTTAATACTTGAACCAGCAATGGAGTACAACACCTGGAACATATAAACACGCTTAAAGTCGGGAGTTTTTAGCCAGTTTCCAAAGTTTCTGCTCAAGTAAGCTTGTCTATTTCATGATGTTTTATTTCAGATGGGGACCAACAAGTTTGCCAGCCAGAAAGGGATGACATCATACGGCACGAGGCGTCACCTCTATGACCCCAAGGCCGGCATGGAGAAGCCAGTGGACCAATCCACCATCAGTCTGCAGATGGGCACCAATAAGGGAGCCAGTCAGGTGGGGATGGGAGCTCATGGGAAAAGTGCCTGTATCTGTTAGCTCCTTATCTTTCTCTTTAAAAATGTTAGAAAACTTCACTTATAAGATAGATTTCATTCACCTGCACTGGTTAGCAATTAAGAGTTCAGTTAATTCTGTTATGTTTTCAAGATGTTACAATAATTTTTAACATCTTTGGTTCTCAGTAACATGCTTTCACTCTCCATCCATCCATCCATCCATCCATCCTTCAACTGTTTATCCGCCAAAGGGTCATTGGGGGGAGGGCATGCAGCCTCCCAGGTAGCACAGGCCACAAGGCAGGTGAACATCCTAGATCAGGGGTGTCAAACTCCAGTCCTGGGGGGCCAGATCCCTACACACTTTCGGGTTTCCCCTCATCTACCACACCTGCTTCAACTCCTTGCGCCTCCTTGTGCTAATTCCCACACAGCTGTTGAGCTGAATCATTTGTGGTGGGGCAGGGAAAAAACTAAGCTACATGGGGCTCCGGCCCCCCAGGATTGACATCCCAGCCATACATTAAATTCCAGGGACTCATACTAATACCATTTACCCTAACTGCATATCTTTGGAAAAAGATAATTGCGTACACAGAGCAATTTTGGGATTTCCACCCGCTGCCCTTGAAGTACGAGCCAATAGCTGTACTCCCTCTGTCACCATGGCACCAACTATCCTGCCGCATACCTTAATTTCAGTGTCTGGTTGCAGCGAGGCCAACAAACCATAAATAATTTATGTCTGGAAACTCTGTGCCGTGCCAACACGCCAACTCTGCCCCTTCCCCAGGCCGGCATGACCGCACCTGGCACAAAGCGGCAGATCATCGACAAGAAGATGGATCTCGAGTCATGTGACACCGCCACCATCTCCCTGCAGATGGGAACCAACAAAGTGGCCTCCCAAACAGGCATGAGCGTGTATGGCCTGCCCCGGCAGGTCTACGACCCAAAGTACTGCGTCACTCCAGGCAGCTACATCAACAATGGAGAAGGCGGGGAGATGTATGGTCATGACGGCTACGACAACTACTAGGAGCCATAAACCGGCGTCATCATCGTTCCCGCCCATGTCGGTTAAGGCTAAATGCTAAATCCTTAGGTATTTATAAATCCTTTTCTCCAGCACGTAGCGTACAGTTTGTTTCACTGGTGTTATTTTAAGCTTCTTGGTTTTCATGAGATTGCATTTGAACTCCTCCGCTTTAGCTCATCTTATGTTGGCTCCTGCACCCTGCTTTTCTGAATATACCGTTTTACAACCAACTGCCACAAGGGCAGCTCTTCTTTCCATTTTACCCCTTTTATTTAAAGCCTTGGCTTTATTTCTATTTATTATTGCTGTTTTTGTTGAATTTCGCTGCCAAAGATGCCGTTCCCTTCCCACCGAACGTGAAAAGCCCTGAAAGACTTAGACGGCTGCCAGATTCCAGCGCTGAATAATAGCCCATCTGGCCCTGCCTGTGAATGCAGCCCCGGGTCCCCTCCTTCGGCCGCGGCGCACAAAGGAACGAGCAGCCGGAGGGGATAGCCGCAGACACTGAGATCAGGAGACGCGTGCCCCCAAAAGAAATGCTAATGCTAACATCTTGAGTTCGGGGGCAAAAAGGACCCCAGACACTGTCTACCTGCTTGGAGGATGAACGACCATAAACCATAAGAGGAGCCTATCATTACTGGCGCCCATGCTTTTGGATCTAAAAGCTTTTTGTTCTCGGTTGCAGAAGGATGTACTTTTTGCTCAACATTTCAAAGCAAAAACTGTTTATTAGCAAGAAGTATTACCAGACTGACTTAATAGCACTACCAACCACTAATAGAGCACACACACACACACACACCATAATTTCCTTTGTTTTAAACTCCTTTTTTCCAGACATGCTTAGAATGAGGTGTGACGGCGTATCTTCAAATCACTGTGTTAGCCTGCCATCTAGTGTTTCGCAACATTACTCAATTGTCAGTACGATTTATGCGCTGAAAGGAAATCAATAACTCCTTGCGACTGCCGCACAATATACCATCAGATGTTAAAACTGATATCTCGCCTCAGCTGTTATTTAAATATACAGTGGCTGTAAAAAGCTGACTGATAGTACAAATCTTTGAGGATCTTGCATGTTTGACACCTAATTTATACAGTCATTTAAAATGTGTTGCATTGATTAATCAGAAAAGATACACAATTACCAAATTAATTTTTATAGCTCAAGTCTATATTTAAGGTGGATTTAGGTATGGTCACCAAGCCTTTGAGATGTTTTTATATCTCAAGAAGGGGGGGGGGGCACTTATCACACCCTTCTTTAGGAGTGCAACGTATAATCAATGCATAGGGACACAATGTCAAACGTGAGTCTAACAAAAGAATATGTTTGTTTTTAAATTACAGGAGAAGTATTAATGCACTTTTCATTATTATAGGTTTTAATATTGAAGTTAATTGATGGGGACAAGTTGTTATGTATTGTAAGTGTGCTGGGGAAGGAAGATACACTGAGGGTTTCCATCGCTAGTCAGAGCAGCTCCGGTCTCAGGGCCAAAAGTGGTCCATGTGTGAGCTTCCTGCAGGACTGCTGGTCAGGAGCGAGTCTGCCTGGCCTGAAGCGGGGATTGGGCTCTCAGAACTGTTCTGATGCATGTCATCTTAACCGTGGAGGGAGAGAGAAAGTGTTTTGTAACGTGTGCTGCAGTTAGTTTAAAACTGAAATAGAAGACATTGGGCAGGAAGACCAAAAGCTACAATACAGAAAATTGTAATAGCCTCAGTACCCAGTATACTTCATAAGAACTTCAAATTGTACCTTGTTAATAAACACAGTATGAAGCAGTCCCCCCCCTCCCGTTGCTTCTTTACGAATGTAAGCAATTACTGTCTGACCATTTTCCTCACTGTACAGCAACGACAAACTTGTGGCAAGAGAAACCAACAACTACCTGAAGTAACAGGCACCCAAGGGAAGGAGCAGTGGTTGGGGTGTGACATGAATCACTGCGGGGGGGGGGGGGGGGGACAGGTTGCACAACCAGGTAATGTAGCACACTATGCACCCAAATTGGATAAAGAAAATACATTACCATATCATGTTCATAAGCAAAAGGACGGCTAAAGGATTTAAGATGACCAATTTTCCCATCGCAATACTGAGTAATACTGAGTACCAAAACAAGTAACGATTTACTAGATGGCAAAGTGCTTAATCATAGAATAATCTGCACGTGACATCAAGTCATTAAACTGGTCTGGATTTAAATCAGCAAAATCAGGTTTATTGGAACATAAAAAAAAAAGTATTTCAAAAACTACTGATGTTCAGTTTCATGGAATAAAACAAAAATAATTACACCCTACAAGTTACCCCCCACCCCACAACTAGTTTAATACAAGAGGCTGGTTTCACAATCATAAACGATTGAACTGTTACTTTTAAGACTTCAGTAAGTGGATCAGGATAATTTAGGTCTGTTAAGTAAACATTGAGACTCATCACAACCAAAAACGCCAAATGAGGAAGCAGGAAGGACACACCCAGAAGTCAGGGGCTCCATTTTAGTAAGAATATCCTGACTTTGACATATGAGCACACATGCACCCGCCTTAAGTAGCTCCAAGACCTAGATTTGGAAAGAAACAGCAGAGCGCACCATATGTTTAAGGAAAGAAATTAAAAACTGCACGTGCTATGATAATCCCTTTATAACAGCTACTTTATTTTAACTGTGCGGGGATGTCTATCGAGGGATCTTTCCTGCCTGTCAGTCCTACCCACCTAGTCATGCTGTTACATGTATGCATACTTTCAGTGATACTGGTTGAATGACTGTGACCTGTGCATTCTTGACCATTGCTCCTCTGCCCATACCCACTGATGCCACAAGCAGTTACTGATTGGCTGCTTCACAGGCATCTATCCAATCACTATAGACATCCACTGGTTCTGAAAGGTCTGCAGAGGTATGTTAAGGAAACTGAAAGCAAAGGGTTTCACACAGACATAATCCTTAGCAGTTTTAACCAACTTGATATAGGACTGCTTGTTACCCCAGTCAAGACATAATGCAAATAAGTCATTCCCCTACTCATAATATAGTCTGGCAAGCAACATAGGATGCAAGCGTCATCTAGGTGGTATAAGCCAAGGAGGGTCCCTGCACTTTCATAAAAGCAAGGCACTTGAACTACTTTAGTGAAAGAAAAAATGGTTATTGCAAATCAGATTAAAAACGCCTACTAAGCGATCACGTGCTAAAACGTTAATAAATGGGACATCCGCTGAAGCTTTGCCTTTAAACACATAATTAAAACCCGCTTTTACGCCGGTATTGAGAAGGATACATGTTATCGGAGTCTGGAACTCCTCCAAGCAAACCGTGCAAGAGATTATGCCCGTATTCCGGCTCCTTTCCCTGGGGAGAGAAGTCAGTGAAACACCTTGACAAATCAACATGTAATATGGCCATGTATACGTCATTTTCCACCTACATCTTCACATCGCAAGATTTCTCGTGGTTACAAAACGGACAGGTAAACTGGGTGTCCAAGTTGCCGGTCATTTTCTTCTTCGGAGGGGGCTTCCGCTTTGATTTGCGACGGCCCATTTTCTGAATTAGCTGCAGAATAGATATTTAAATAACATGTAACCAGATGCCGGATTACAGGAAACTGCATATATATGTAAACGACCTAAAGGAGGTCAGAGCAAGCAGATTAGTTACAATGAATGGCAGGTTAATGTTCCTATTAAAATACCACACAAAGTACTATCGAGGTAGCTAGCTGAGACAAGTAAAAAAAAATTGCAATATTTCTACAATATTTAGTAGTTATTTTACAGTTCTTTAAATCGAAGCATCTCTAACGCACAACAGTGATCAACACATGGCAAGTTGGACCAAACAATGCATTTACCTGAGCTAACTAAACTGAGCAACATTCAGCTACCGGTTTAACACTGAAGTATGTTACCGAAATACGGCTACGAAATCAACCCACCAAAGATTCTCTAATAAGAACATAAGCATGTTTATTTTTGTTTACCTTCTCCAAAAACAACCAGCTAGCTAGCTAGCTTGACCTCCTGCAAAGATTGCTCCCTGTTCTTCCTCCTCTGTAAATTTCAGGATGTTGAGGTGGTCTTTACTCGTAAAGCGCCACCTGTTGGGCTGGCGTGTAACAGCAATGGCCTACTTATTATTACATTTATTATCTTTCAGTATAAAATCAGCGAAGTTGTGACGTTTATGTCCACATTATGCTTGGTGATTAACAAACATGCTGGCCCATAGAGAACATTTCAAGCCTGGCTTCCTCAACAAGATGACTTGCACAAGATATCCTATGGCAGGGTTGTCAACTTTGGTCAGCTGGCTGGTGTTACTTTTTCAATTTGAGAGAAGTCCCACTTATTTAAATGCAAGGCTCTCAAGTTTCATCAAAAGTTTGGTGTGAGATTACATTAGGGGCGAAACGTGTGTCTTACGGTGATTGCATGAGAACCGAGAGCCCTGCTTACCGCATTCGTTGGATATTCCTCAGCCACTTCCACCTTTCCCGCACTCCATCTTCGTGCGCATCCATATATTAACGCGCTTGCAGCGTGATCCCATGTAACTTATTTAGGAATTTTCCCGGAAACAACAGATGCTATTTTCTGATTGGCTTGTAGGTGCCTATTAACTCTGTATAACTCGGGCCAGCTATGAACTCGGCGGAATGTATGTAACAGTAAATGTATGTAACAATTTTATTACCTTGTAAATAGTACGTAGGGTTTGCAAACTACCCCAACGCTATTGATGTACCTAAGTTTATAATGGAATAATACAGATTTGCCGTAAGATTTCTTGCGTGAGTGTCACCCCCGATGCGTGTCACCCTGCTATAAATGATCATTAGGAACATCAGTGCGTTTATTCAAGTTTCTAGTATTATTTGTTACTTACACAATCATACAAAGTTAGAAAAGTACTGATTAATAGAATTTTATATACATAACGCTTTGATTCGTTTTAACTGCCATCGATGGTTCTCAACGTAGGCGGCAGGTTTAAAATGTTCCATCGAGTTGCCCTAACTTGTTGGAATTTTCAGTATTAAATGATAGTTATATCTATCGAAGTTTGTTAATGACTAAGAAAATGCTATCAACATAAATCTACATGGACATATTTGATTGCACCAGTGGTCAATTCCCTCTCATTGTGGAGCACATCATATTCCCTGTTTAAAGTATCCTAGCACAAAATGGCCAGTGGTGGCTTAATTGTTAGGGAAGCACACTTGTAATTTAAAGATTGCAGATTTGAATCCCCACCCAGCAAGGTACCATTGAGATACCCTGAGCAAGGTACCACCCCCCAAACCCTGCTCCCTGGGCGCTGAATTAGCTGCCCCCTGCTATGTCACCAGGTCACATATGGGTTAAATGCAGAGGACACATTTCGTTGTTGTGCACTGTGGTGTGTCAACAATGATAACAAAATTGTAAAGCAAAAATACTACTGATTTTATGTTTTCCTATCCGGACACATTTCATCAATTGTGACATTTCCTAATTTGGCTGGCTTGGTATAAATTTATTTAAATGAGAACTCAACATCATAAAGCTGGGCTAAAAACCCATGCATAATTAGTAGGAATTTATAGCTTGAAAAGAGCTGGAAATGAGAGTGAAGTTGAATTTCTGTTGTGTGCATGTGCAGTATCTCCACAGGTAGGATGGAATGATAGACAAACCTTAACTGTTTGTTCATTATGCTGTGAGCTGATCTGCTGAAACAGCACTTTATTCTATATCAGGGAGGCTTTTTGTTCTGTAGTACAAGAGGCAAAGTTCACTCTACGTAATGTAAGCTATACAGGAGCATACTTAGAAATCCTGGGCCCCAAAACCCAATTTTGTGTATTTTATGGATTCAAGGCCTATTGCCAAGTGCTGCCCCTCTCTCTGAATCTGCTGGGGTATCTGTGCCTCTCTGACACCTCCAATGCTATATTACCATATTAACATGGTAGCATTCCAGTCTCAGGAAAGGACTCTGGTTTTTTGTAAATAGTTCTTGTTATGATCACTGTGCTTGAGGGTCTCCCTAGGGGGTAGAACAAGGAATGAAATGATTGAATTGATTAGGGAAATTGAGGACTGTGAACCTGGTGGCTGGCACCTCCAATGACGTATATTTAGTATGGAAGATTACTTAGATTTTGTTTCTACCAACCAGTTGACTATATACTCTGTGACTGTGACTGTTTATGCTTAGCTGGTTGGTAGAAACAAAATTCTTGGTCTGACCAACACTGACTGTTAGTGAGAAGGGTACGTACAGTTAACAGGGGTCCCCTCTCAATACACTCTGCACAGCAATCAATAGTGTTTCCATAGTGCACAATATTATATAATTTGCTGCCTATAGAAGTGTTGCAGCTGTCATTCTAGCTATGCTACGATATGGCAGCATATGAAATATTCATATCGTAGGGGAAATTAAAACTGGTATGCTGGATGAACCAGTATACCGCCCTGTGCTAACTGTATCAGAGTATATCGCCCTGGGCTCGACTTTTCCAATTACAGCGGTCAAATTGTTCCACGTGCAGTCACGTGATAGCAGGTCTTATATGTCATTGGGCGCACCTGAGGGCATCATATCGCCGGTTGACTAGTGAGCGCTACAGCATGTATGGTTTAGTGACCGTGTTTATTGTGAGCTGCACTTTGGCTGGACGTTTAAATAATTAAGATTAGTGTTTCTGTCGTGTTCCGTTTTAAATGAGTTTTATTAGTTTGCGTGAATGTTGTAAAGATTGGTCATAATAATGCATATCATTAAGGTGGATTTACTATTTTTTTTTTATTTTTTATAAATTGCTGATCCCGGAGCACTTCTCCGGTCAGTCCCCCTCCGTTCGCAGTGCCCTTCCATCATCAGCATGTCCGCGGTGAGGCTCTTCGGCCTGGGCGCGCTAGCCATGCTCCTCGGCCTGGACTGCTTGGCCAGGCTGCTCCGGCTGGTGCGGGCGAGGCGCGGCGCCCCCCGAGGTCCGCTGAAGGAGGTCCTCTTTTTCCCCGTCGACATCACCTGCGTGGAGCACCTCTTGCGAGCGGGCGAGGCGCTCCCCAAGTAACCATCTCGCATTTCTCCTGTTTAAGTCGATGATGTCTGAGTCCTTCGTAAATGAAAACCACGTGAAATGGATAATAGGTTAGTCGTGAGGTTCGGTGTTGTTCACTGCCCAGCCTCTTCGGTTGGTTATTATCTCTAGCTAGTAAAACACAAGCTGCTCGGTAGCGACAGCCTGCGCAGTCAGAGAGGAACCCCGGCAATCTAGCTTCTCATTAACTACCCGTTTGTTCACACGGTAATGGTGTTCGTGGCTGGATAAACCGTCTCGTTGCTATGGACTGCATACTTAAACAGAGGATATGCATTTAACATAAACATAAAATTGCATCATTTAACATGCGTTGGATAGTAAAGCCAGTTAGTAATTTGCTGAAGTTTTGGAATTTAGTAAAGTAATTACAGTAAAGTAAATTGCAACAAGGAACAATACACACGTATAACACTTAGAACAAGTAAAAGTTGTCCGGCTAGAATCTCCCTCCCGCTGCATGTGCGGAGTTTGCGCGGTCTGTGTGTCACGTGACCTACCCACAGCAGCCCGCAGATGTCCAGTTAGGCATCTCTGAATGGTTCAGTGTGTGTCTGCATACCCTGCCTTGTGTCCTGTACAGCCCGGGGTGGACGCCAGGCCGACCCTGACTAGGATGCAAGATGGATAGATGGAAAAACGTTACACCTCTTATTTAATCTGCTCAATGGCCAATGCTTTGAGGTTAAACAGACTTTTTTAATACCTCTGATTTGTCTATAAATCAGTAGGAAGGTTCACTGACTCGCTAATGTACCACATTTATTTATTAATTTGGTGTCTCCTGGCTGGATGGATTTATATGCAAAGGGCTCAATTGTATTTGTGATGACATGGAAACTGAACACGCCAGAATAAATTACCACCCCCACTCCCCCCGCCCAGGTGTGCACTACTGATGTTTTCTCACACTCCACCTCACAGCTCCTGCCCTTGCCCCCTCCCCCACGGCCAGGAGACCTCCTTCACTCGCCTGCTGAGGCACCTTCTCTCTGCCAGCACCTCCTTGGACCTGTGCATCTTTGCCTTCTCCAACCAGTCGCTGAGTCGCGCCGTGCTGCTGCTGCAGGCCAGGGGGGTGGTGGTGCGCGTCGTCACCGATACGAGCTACATGGCCATCAGCGGCTCCCAGATCAGCACCCTCCGCAGGGCAGGTATGCCACCTCTGAACGGCGGTCTGCTTTAATGGGGCAGTGTTTTCCATAATGGCTCAAGCTTGGGCCTACGGCTATTGGACCTGTGACCTAATGAGGCTCTTCTGCACGAGGGGTGGTTGTTCATTCTCTTGGGGGGGCTTTTCCACTGCATCAGGTACCGTACTTTTGCTACTTCAGAAAAGTACCACGTACGGAACTTGAAGGTGTTTGTTTTCCCGTGGGGTACCACCGCTGAATGGCATCCCAGCAGAAGCCGGGGAATTTTGAACTGTTGGCTGTAGTATATAGTATTGGTTATAATAAATAGCTATAGTATTTAATATTAATACCAATATTGCATGTTATGCACATGCAATTCTCATGTTGCAAGGACCACGATAGGGGTGGGCAGTGTTGGCTTAATGGTTAGGGAAGCGCACTTGTAATTGAAAGATTTCAGGTTCGAATCCCCGACCAGCAAGGTACCGCCCCCAAGCACTGCTCCCCGGGCGCTGAATTAGCTGCCCCCTGCTATGTCACGATGTCACATGTGGGTTAAATGCAGGGGACACATTTTGTTGTTGTGTGCTGTGGTGTGTCAACAATGACCATCACCAAAAAAAAGCTCTTTTAAGAGCAGGCTTATCTTCATACTGTACAGACATTATAGTGCAGGGGGTTTAAGTTTCACTGATGCATTTTAACTTCTCATAGGCACATAACTTAATTACTGTTACTTTTAATGATTATCTAGTACAGTGTTTCTCAAACCATTCCGCAGGGTCTCCCAGGATCTGGTCTGAGAAACACTGATCTAGAATATGTTTAAAAAAACAAAAATCAGTGTAAGGTTTACAGCGCTGCTTTGGCAATAGCTGTGAACGTGCTTTCTGATCTTGTTCAACCCTGCGGTTTAAGGCAGCCAGATGGGTTTGTTAGAGAATTATTTTGAACCCTCTTTTGCTTTAAAATATCCCAGTATTTATTACAACAGAATCACATTGCGATATTAATTTTTCCCCCCCATTATCGTGCATCTGTAGTATATTATAGCAAATACTTATTATTTCTTGCCAAGCCGTCCAGATCATTCAATGCTTCTTCTGACCAGATTGCAATTATATTTTGAGTCTCATTTGTCCACACATCCTAACTCATTATTACTACTTTTTGTTTTTACTTTATCTGTGTTTTCTGAGTTTGTAACTTTGTTGTATTTCAAAGGCAGGCTGTTTGCATAACCAATTGACAATGAACATATATGAACATAAGTCCCACCCCAAAGTACTGAAGTACCAAAAAAGTAGCCCAGGTGGTTTGGTCCTTTTGGTACCGGTACTTGACCGGAAGTCAGTGGAATAGGGAAGTACTGAAAGCACCACACCAAAGGTACGGTTCCTGATGCGGTGGATAAGCGTCCTTGGTTGTTGAGGATGACGGGATGAGTCTGGCAACCAAACATACTATGACGAGCTTTTTAAGCAGTGGTCACCTTTGCAGGACAAAGCTATCTGTCCTAAGCCCCCCCTCCCCCAACCACCAGCCCTCTGAAGGAACCTGGTGGACAGAGTGAGCCCTAGACATCTGTGAATATGGTTTGCTATGCCTAAAATCCTTATCTGGATTATATAATTATGAATCACCTCTCGGAAATATAGGCAGCTGATTCTTTTTAAAGGGCCTGTTTCCATGCATATCTGGGGGCAAATTAAGAAGTTAGTTGTCTCTCGTCCAACGGTGCTCCAGCCTCCATGCCCCTCCCCTACCTACTGGGTGAGGGGGGGGAGGGGGGGGGCACCTTAACAGACAGGAGCAGCTTGTCTGCTTGCATTTTTAACTGTGCTAAATTAATTTTATGATGTCTAAAAGCCCTGATTAAATAAATAAGAAGGCTGACGCTCAGGCTCCCTCAGATCAGTGGGGATGTTAAAAATAGCAGGAGTGCCCCAAGGGGCAGGCATGAGCGGAAGCTGAGTCGCTCTCCCTGTCTGCGGCTCCAGCTTAATCAAAGCTCAGCTCCTGGCACTAATGGGTGGAGCACGAGCATGCCAAGTGGGCGTTTCTCCTGTCTGGGGAGCCGACAGCGGAGAAGGGGATGCTGGGTAAGGGAGGCGCATGGAGGCTGGAGCGCCGTTGGACGAGAGACAACAAACTCCTTCATTTGTCCCCAGATATGCATGGAAACAGGCCCTTTAAAAAGGATCAACTGCCTATATTTCTCAGAGGTGGTTTGATATCTGTGAAGTGTGGAGTAGCACTGTGTTCGTTTTGAACGTCCGTTTCTAAACCATGCATCAGTTCTCAGTACCAGTAACATGAACAACAATGTCTTGTTGCTGAAAGTATTCAGCTGAAACGGTGTCCCTGTTAGGCCTGCACAATGTGGTCTGTTTATATCAAGATCACATGTTCCGCACATGCAGTTGTCACAAAGCCAGGACCACGATAGTCCGCTGGGTCAGACCAGGCCTGGGTGGTATCTAACTTTTCATAGTTATACCATCCAGACATACCACGGTGGACAGCAACACTATTGTGGTATTTTGAAAACTTGACAGTAAAATTTGCAGAGCAGAGATCGAGTTTTGCTAAAACATCTTTATTCTGTCATAGGAAACTGAACTTGGCAAGCTTTGCAATTTTAGTGATTGTTCCAATTCATAATTACCAAGTATAAATTAAAAAACAATTAGTGTAAAGTTCTTATGCTTTTGCATGCGCTCTCTGAGCCAATCATAATCGTTCTCGTCCTTGCTGTCAGATTCTTTCATAGACAGTTTCACGCCTTTGTGAAAAGAAAGTAACAAAAATGAGTGAGGAGAAGAAAGGCGAACAAGACATGGTCACTAAAAGACAATATGGAAATATTTTGAATTCCATAGATGATATTGAGCAAAAGCAAGTGATTTGTTTTTATGGCTTTGTGTTGGCACAACAGGCAACAAGACCAGCAATTTATTTGACGCTCTTTTGATAGATAAGTTCCGTTTACCTATACAGTTATACGTCACTTAACGTCCTTCCAAGTAACATCTCTCCGCATATACATCAGATTCCATAAGGTTAAAATCCTGATTGGCTAATGGGGCACAGCAGACGTAACTGGTCATAATCCACCACATTTAGCTAGTGTAAACAAAGCAACTGCACTAACAGCCGTATGATCGTACAGTTCACATCCAACCTAATACCCTTAATACTTTATAGTTATAATGAATATGTTGTACATGTATGTATTTACTGCAGTTTGATCATTATTTTAATGTGTGCTGTCTCTTATATAATGTGTCTTGGCTATTTAGGCAGCACAGGTACAGTATCGGTGTAATACATAGTGTGATGTTTACAGAGCAAGCAAGTCTCCTAACATCCTGTTGTACAGAATGTACCCTGGGCACTAAGCGATGCGTAACTGTAGTTTATTTTGGCTTTTCACCTCAGTTTTTGCTTTATAAATATCTGTGTTTATTGCGAAAATTTACATTGATTTTTTTTCTATCACGCAGCTTTAGCTCCTACAGCATAAATTTTTGCTTATATATATATATATACTTTCTGTGTGTAAACTTCCTCATGTTCTCCCTGCTGCATTTGATAAATGCGACTTTTTGCCTCTGCCGGTCCCATCATCAGTCGCAGTTCCTTCAGCTCCACCCACCCACCTCTCTTACGCCTCCCTTCCGCTAGGAGTCAACGTGAGGCACGACATGGGGGCGGTGTACATGCACCACAAGTTTGCGGTGGTGGACGGCCGGCTGCTGATCACCGGCTCCCTCAACTGGACCACGACGGCCATCCAGTGCAACAAGGAGAACATGCTGGTAACGGAGGAGCCTGATCTGGTGCAGCCCTTCATCAGGGAGTTCCAGCGGCTGTGGGACTCCAATGACCCCGCCCGGCATTGCCCCCATGGCTAAACCTGTTTACGTACTTACTCACTGCCTCGCATTACACGTCATGTTTATAAAACATGCAAGCTATAATATGTTGTTTTATTTTTGTTGCTATTACTTATTATTATTCTCATCCATTTGCTTCAGCTCCAAATTCTCTATTCAAAGCCTTTGTTCCCTGTGTGCCTTTTTAAAATTGTTTATTTGGAAGAATAAAGTGATTATGGGTGAGCAGAAATGGGCTTTTGCTTGAATGCATGTGCCAGATGGATGCAGAGTGTATTGATTCCCCCCCCCCCCTCCCCCCAATCAGAACCGGAGGAAACCAGTGAGAGGGAGGAACGATGCGGATACGGGGGGATGCATTAGAGATTGGTGCATAGCGTTTGGGGGGGGGTTGCTGTAAAGGCGAAGTAATCCTGGTTTCTACTGCAGTCTGCCTGGCCTCCCTTTCAGTGCCCGGAGCAGAACTTCCATCAGGCGGAGCATGATTTATGGAGGAGTCGACATGGTGGAGAGCAGGTCTTGGAGATTACGCGACATCTGTGGATCTGGAGTCTGTCGTTCCTCCCTGACAGGCGGCCCTGGGGACTGAGGATGGCCTGCTGTTATCAGAGGCAGAATCAGAGCCCGGAAGAATACCCTCAGACGCGTGATGGGTGTGAGGTCGCCACCTGCTACAGTGTCATCCAATCGTGCTCACGTTGTCACTTTCCTAAACTTCTGATAGGTCGGTATGAGGGTTTTGGCTGATAACCTCGGATATGTTTTGCTCCTGATCTTCAGAGTTTTCTCTGCACTCCTGTATCAGTTCTGTATTGATGAGGTGGGGTCAAACTCCCCTTAGCACAACATTTTCCATGTGTTTTTTTTTTTTATAATTATTTTTTAAAGAAATAGTGTAGTCTGTCTCTTTCATTCCCTCCCATGTCTGATAACCCAGCTCCCCTAATACTACTGAGTGCCTGTTGGCTGCTCAGTGGATCATTGTTTTTGTATGTATAGCAAAACCCATTTCTGGAAACATCAAAATACAATTATGTGTAGCATCATGAACCCCACTTCCCAAGATTGCAAATAAGGGCCGTTTCTGTAACGTATATAGCTGTGCCAATCTCAAAAGTGTGGGGGGGGGGCAGTGGTCTTAGACTTGACTAATGGAAAAGATGGTTTAATGTAGGGTATTTCTCATATATATATATATATATATATATGAAGAATAAAGTGATTATGGGTGAGCAAAAACTAGCTTTATATATATATATATAAAAAAAAACCGTACGGTTTCCTTTCCGCCATTGTTTTAAAAACAAATGCTGCATTGTTTTCAAGCTGATTGGGGGGATGGGGTTATGCATAGCGAAGAAGGCAGGACCTGGTTGATGCTGAACTCTTATTGACCCGTCTGTGCTGCGGGCATCAACATTACATAGCCTATTGGTGCTGAGGCGACCGTCACCCGGAACTCAGGTGGAATCTGACCTCCTGGTTAAATCTAACATTGAGGAAATGTACCTTAATATCCTTGTCGTGTTTTCTTGAACACGTCCAATGTGAAACAGCGCATGTGGAGACCTGTGTCTCATGTATACAGCTGTATACGTAAGTTAAATTTCTATAAAAATCATGGTTATACAAGTTACGTTGTATTAAAATATCTACTTTTATTTGACATCATCAGTGGATCAAAATAGTTCTTTAGACTCCACGTAGGAAAAGATCTCTTGTAATATAGGCCTACACAATTTATGAATTACATTATTTGTGTGTGCGTGTGTGTCTGTTTCAAAGTCTGTGTAATATTGTTCATTAAAAAAATAAATACGTTTTTGCAACAAAGTAGGGTTTTTTAAAAACGTAACGGCAGGTCTGTGATTACTGTAAGTGCGTTATAAATAAAATATTAACCTATTTGTATCAGAGCGATAAATCACTTTCGGTGCTTGTTTCAATGGTACGCCAATATCACGCTGTAATTCCTGCAACCTGTAATATAATTGTGCACTATTGATCAAAATCACATACTAGGCAGTAAATTGAGGTGTTTATTGAAACGTTTAACATGTGTATAAACCGTGCAGGAGTATTTACCATATGATAAGATCAGCGCCGTAGGTTTATTTGAATATGCAATTTCTTTTATTTACCATTAGATTTTTTTCGCGGTGGGACGCTGTGTCTCTGCACTATATCCAAGAAACACACTTCCGTAAGTGACCATCGCAGACGGAGGAGCTCCGCTTGAGATCCGGGAGAGGAGCTATCAGCGGAGAAGAGGCCGGCAGGGCGAGGGTGGTAGCGGTAAAGAGGCGATCTGTGAACCTTGGAGCTCCGCTAGCAATCCACCATTAAAAAGGGCTCCAGCAACAAACGGTTTGTTCATTTTATTTCCTTGTTGTGTGTCACTTTGCGTTTAGTTTGCTTTACTCTCCTATATGCGCCTGTGAACGCGGATGCAGAGACGGGCAGCGTCCATATGGTAGATCTGGATTCTTACTTGTGGAGTTCGCTTATTATAAATATGACTAGCAGTTTATAGTTAGTATTTTTGAGTAGTTAAATTTAGTGTTTTGGCGCGATTTTTGTAGTTTGTTGGTGTGTTTTATAATTGTGGATCTTAGTTGAGCTGCTGTTTTTTGAACGAAGGGGTAACTGGGGTTTGATTTCTGCTGTCAACCACCAACGAATGGCTAAAACAAGTGCCCTATGGTTCATTGCGCTTCATAACTTAAAAGCACTACGCCATCGGTTTCCTCTTACACGAAACCTTTTCAATCCCCTCTAAATATTGTGGATTAAGTGTGTATCACAGATTAATTGTTATTTATGTTTTTTATTGTTTTGTTTTGTGTATAACATATAGATATATAGTCTATGCTCACAAATGGACTAATGTAGTTAACCGTCCATTTCCATGCCCGCTTTTCTTTTCGTAATATTTACTATTACCGCAGGATTGTAGTGTTGCTGACTGTAGTGTTTCTGCTGTGCTTGTGTGTTTTATTGTTAATGTCTCACAGAGACGGAACAGATGCATCTAGGCCGTGCATAATATCTAGCCCATGTATATGGATGCATACATGGCAGGGAGTCCACTAATGGAGATGTAAAAGAGACCATCCATGCTACTTTTTAACTACTTTTTCAAGTGTCGGTAATGTCGGTAAATTCAAGAGTCAGTATATCCAGTTTTGTGCATGAACTGTAAAATGGACATCGGGGCCAGTCACGGTTTTCACGGTATACTGTACGTGTCTGTTCAGGCAAAAAGCCGTAATGTACAGCTGATGTGTCACGGTGAGACAGACCCGGCTATTAATTCCAGCGTGTCGTTTAGTGAGGTGTGTCACATCCTGCTCTCAGGAATGAATTGTGTCCCGTACGGGCTGCGGCGCCCCTTTTATAAACAAAGCAGCTCCAGCCTCCCTCTCGGACCTTTTTCATTCATTGTTTTAAGTTGTACCTTTGTGACAGAAGTTGGGCAATGTTCCCCAGAATAGCACTATAATTCATTTCACCCGAGGTAACAGTTAATGGAACATAACGGTGCCAGTCTCAGCGTTTTAGCTTGACATCACCTGCCATTCAGAATCGACATCATTTTAATTTCCATCCCTTATTATCCGGATAGAAAAGAAGTAGCAGCTTACGTTTAGGTTTTAATAGGTCTTAGGCCCGGGCTCATTTTGATGTAGCGTACAGATCACATCTGTACTGCTAATAATGTTTTGATAACCTGTAATAAATTGTGCCAATAGCAAAATAAAGTTTTCTGTATGAGTGCTTGTGGAGCTAAACTGCTGTCTTTGCCATTAGATTTTGATTCTCTTATAAGATGGCATTTCTATAATAATCCTGTATAGACAATGTGAAGTGAAAGTGAGCGGGTGTCATTGTTGACACATTGCACGCAATAATGACATGTGCGCTCTGCATTTAACCCAAATGCGACAGAGCAGTCGAGACGTAATAAAAAGGACGGTTTTACGTTAATGATAGTAAATGACATGGAGGTGAAATAAAGAGCCCATTTTGCTCTGCTGAAACCAGCGCCGTGGTAATTCTGGTTATCAGTAGCACCGCAAAATTAATAAGATGTCGTGCAAATCCTGGTATCCACATGTGATTTTGCTGCGTGAGAAACACAACCCAGCTTATCCCATCTCCGGTCTCATAGTAAAGCTGCTTAAGACTCCTCCGTCGTGTCACAGGGATAATTTCGTTCCAAAATCCTCTTGTGAATAATCCACCAAAGCATAGACCTATCGATTGGATTATCGAAGAGAAGACCACAGCCATACAGTAAGTATGTACAATGCTACGGCCCACCTCGTGATTCACACTCCTTAACGACACGCAGGTCCCTGCTTTCAGTTGTCATGTACCTGTTTCAGTGGACATCTGCCAACAGTTTGTTTGCTCTCTGTTGATTTGATTCTAGATGGGGTTGAATTGAAATTTTTGAATTAATTTCAATTTGACTGAACCCAAACCTGATTCAACATGGTACACATCCTCTTCATTCATGGCTCACACACTTTACTCATGGAAAAAGGGCAGTGAGCAGGTTCGGCAAAGCTACTCGCTGTCCCCGAATGCTGCCTTTGACGTGAGGCATTAAATTCACACCTATGTCTCACATCTTCTCTAACTGGTCATATTTACACGTTCACCCAAAAACACTTCTGTCTATGCCAGTGAAATGATTAATGTCGGAAATGACAGCATGAGCAATCAGAAAAACACTTGTCTGATATTTATCAAGCATTGAAAAGGGAGTTCTCACTAAAAACACTAATTGATTCATGCAGCCTTTGTTTGCTATGTAATGCAAGCTGTCTTTTGTTTTTTTTTCTTCTTAAATTTATCATAGTTCTGCTGCTGCCAATGATCTCTGCTGAGTGGGTATTGGTGGCTATCTAATGGATCCATGTGCATTTTTGTTGGGCTGGTTTCCATGGAGACTGTCTTCATCATTTTAGTGGCTTGGGGCTGTGTGGGGTGAGGCCTGGGATGGGTTGGGGGGTGTGTGACTCCGTCACTCTCTGTGTCCCTTTTATTCCAAGCATTTTGTTCAACGTCCTGGGAGAAAATATTGTGTGGTAAGCTTCTGGAGGGTTTATGTGAGCTTCAGCGAAGCTAGGATGAAAATATTTTAAGAAATAATATGTGTGTTCTACGTTAAAACTGTTTCCTTTGTTTTTCATGTCTGTCCAAAGCATTTTGGTTGGTAAACTTCTGTCTACACCAGTGGTTCTTAACCCAGTCCTCGGCGAACCCCAGACGGTCCACGTTTTTGCTTCCTCTCAGCTCCCAGCGCACCTGTAGCAGGCATTCGGTGATCCTGATTGGCTGGGAGCTGGGAGGGAGCAAAAACGTGGACTGGACCACACAATGGTAACTAGTTACCAGGTAATAACACTGATACTTCATTGATCCCTGTGGGGAAGTTCTCTCGTNTTTTTGCTTCCTCTCAGCTCCCAGCGCACCTGTAGCAGGCATTCGGTGATCCTGATTGGCTGGGAGCTGGGAAGGAGCAAAAACGTGGACCGTCTGGGGTTCGCCGAGGACTGGGTTAAGAACCACTGGTCTATACTGTTTGGTCACCAAGCCGTGATCAATGGCGCTTTCTCCTCACTAGATGGCGACAGTGAACGACTCGCACCAGCAGCAGTCGTGGAAGGACGCGGCGGACCAGAACTTCGACTACATGTTCAAGCTGCTGATCATCGGGAACAGCAGCGTGGGCAAGACCAGCTTCCTGTTCCGCTATGCCGACAACTCCTTCACCTCGGCCTTCGTCAGCACTGTGGGCATCGACTTCAAGGTCAAGACAGTGTACCGCAATGAGAAGCGGGTCAAGCTGCAGATCTGGGTGAGTTTGGCGGGCGCTCAGTGATCTTCAGAGAGCTGGAGGGAAGGTAGGAACTGGGGCAGTGATGCCCTGTTTCGAAGGTGGTACCATCTCAGCTAAGCTGCCCTTTGGGCCTGTGTGTCAGGGGACGGCAGGGCTAGTGAGTGCGCTTACTGGAGAAGCTTTGCTGTGTTAACTAAACACTGGAAACACAGGAAAGCTATAAGCAAACTACTGACATCATGGGGTGTGTGAGAGAAGCCACGTTGGTGGCTTAACGGCTTGACTCTGCTGTAAGACATTTGGAAAGGCCTTTAGAAGAGAAACAGGCACAAAACGAAGAACACGATGGAGAAATAAGCAGTCAACAAACAATCTTGCAAAGAGGTAAACTGTTAAGTGTACCCCAGATGACATCCTGACACTTAAAATTAACCCAAATATTGTTAAATTAAAGATTCACAAGGCAGTGTTACAAGTTTAATGATGGTAAGCCTCTTCAAAATGAGGCATTTTTTGTTGATTGTTAGTAAAGTTCTGGTAGTACTTAAAGGAAACAGCGGTGGGAGGTAACCCCAAATGACCAGGGGTTTATCACACGGCCTCCAAATGGTGCTTTAATCTTCAGCCTGTCCACTTAGTGATAATTGAAGTCCCTCCACATTTGAACATGGAGGGTGGGGAGGGATCAGAAGCTCTAAGGCAGTGTTTCGCAAGCTAGTCCTCGGGGACCCCCACGTTTTTGCTGGAGAGCTGGGGGGTAGCAAAAACGTGGACTGTCTGGGAGGGAGCAAAAACGTGGACTGTCTGGCAGAGAGCTGGGAGGGAACAAAAACGTGGACTGTCTGGGAGGGAGCAAAAACGTGGACTGTCTGGCAGAGAGCTGGGAGGGAGCAAAAACGTGAACTGTCTGGGAGGGAGCAAAAACGTGGACTGTCTGGCAGGGAGCTGGGAGGGAGCAAAAACGTGGACTGTCTGGGAGGGAGCAAAAANCTGGGAGGGAGCAAAAACGTGGACTGTCTGGGAGGGAGCAAAAACGTGGACTGTCTGGGAGTCCCCGAGGACCCGGTTGGGAAACACGGCTCTAAGGACTGCCTAGTGCTGATGGATGAGTCATGCAGGAGCTGGTGATTCTAGACAGGCTGGATGCTGTGCTGCTGTTCCCACACGAGTGTGTTGGTGTACTTACAGGGTGTGGGACAGTCAGGCCCTCCTCAAGGGCTTTTCCACCGGACCTTACCTGAGCAGTTAATGATCAACTGGGAGAAGAAAGGCGGTGCTGGTTTGTTTGAGCTATGACTCACTAAGGACTCTCACAATCCCCACACACCATATACTATTTATCCATTTGTATTTTGCACATATTTATTGACTCTTTTATACACATTATTACATATCATGTTTTGTCTTGTGTTTATATTTGTGCCACTTGAGGAGCTACTAACTGAAGGAAAAGTAAATTAATAATCATGGTGACACAGTGGTTAGCGCTGCAGCCTCTCCACCTTGGCTCTATGTGAATTTGCATGTTCTCCCCATGTCACCATGGGCTTCCTTCTGGGTTCACTGGTTTCCCCCCCACAATCCAAAAACATAAGATGAATGAGAGTAGCCAAAATTGCCCCTAGGTGTGAGTGCACCCTGAGATGGGTTTGGTGCCCCGTCTCAAATATACATCGCTGCAGCTGGGAACCAAGAGTTGAGTAGGAGGGGTTTATAACAAGGGTTCGGGTTAGGAGTTAGGGTATCAGATTGTAACAGTTATAGAACCCTGCCCACATTGCCCCTCCCATTCGACATTGCCCCTCCCACTCGACATTGCCTCTCCTAATCGACATGGCCCCTCTCACTCGACATTCGGTTCATTGCTGTAGCAATGTGCCTCTCCCCCATCCTGGGTTGTTCCCTGCCTTGTGCCCATAGCTTCTGAGTTATTCTCCGGACCCCCGTGACCCTGCATAGGACAAACTGGAATAGAAAATGAAAGGATGTATTGTATATTTTTTTGGTAAAAGTACATTTGTCTGTGAACAGAAGTTCCAGCATGAAGTCTGTTTTTTGGCTGTAGTCTGACTGAGGGATTATTCAACTTGGGTCTTGCCGGATGTAGTGGTTTCGTCCCTTTGATGGTCCTGAGGTCCCTATAACGGGTCTCATTAGCAGTACATTCTGCAAGCTTTGTGCGGTAAGCATTTTGCAGGGTGGGCAGCTGATGAATACCGACTCCCGAAACGTTGGGAGGATCATTGTGAGCAGCGTGCTGCATTTGGTTCCTCTCTCATTTGCTTTACTTATTTGCTTTACTTATTTGCTGAGCTCACCTGCAACCGGTACCATCTTTTCAGTGGCTTTCTAACCCCCATAGTGGGGGGGGGGGGCTGTGCTTCTCTGTCAGATGGGCTTGCAGCTCATGGAGACGGGGGTCCTGTCACGTCTGTGTGCGTCAGCGATGTAGCTAAGGGACACCACTGACGCACTCACCGGGATGTGGCAGCCAGATTTGGCTCCGGCCCCCGGTGCCGTCACCCCCACGATAACATCCAACGTCTCTGTTTATGCCGGAAAGCGGTTTGGGCCCACAAGGTTCAATGATGGTCGTCAGGTCTGACCAACGAACAAACGGCATACGGGGGTTTTACCGAAGTGTTATGTGAATTTAAGTCCTGCAGCAACCAAACAATCAAACGCTACTCAGATAGTGTCAGCTGATGAACATTAATTTCAAAATAACCCGTTTCCAGCTGACTCTTGCAAATCTGCTTCATTGATGATAGTAGAAAGAAGCTCATCAAGCCCAAGTTGCAGCTGTGTTTTGTTTGGTATTGGAAAGAATCGAAACAAGGCTTTTTGCCTTTTTCATTGTGTTTCTGTCCCACGGATGTATGTAGCCCATGTATCTTAAGATATTTATTAATCTGGGTGATTACACAGGGTGACCCCTGATTGGATTAGTATTGAAGTGCAAGTAGGGGCTGCTTTAATGTGGAAAATCCAGTTTACTGCCACAGAGCTGATTTAATGGTGCCACAGTAGGTCAGGCTGCTAGAACATGAGATTACAAGTAATCTAGCCCTTACACACACGCACACACACACACACACACACACACGCACACACACATGCACACACACACAACTATAAAAAGGCAGCTGCATAAATGACCCGTTGTTACCGGGGCAACCTCCAAATGATGTCAGTCTTCTATGCTAATTGTGCACTTATACGCAGTTACCAGGTAACGAATGAGGATGGGCCGGTTGCCATGCAGTTGGGCTGCGCTCACCATTAGTTGCAGTATGAATTTAATCTTGTTTATGGCCTTTTTGGAGAGAATTTTACTGGCATCAGCGCCACTTGTAAGTCTGGCACAGAACTGTCACAGTTCCCTGTGGTTGCTTGAGTTATGAGTTTGTAGTTTGGGCTTCGATGTAGAGGTGGGTTGTGGAGCAGGCAGACATACAAGGAATGTTCCTCTGCATGTCCCTCAAGGCCGAGCTCTTTGTCCCCTTTTGTGGCAGGACACAGCAGGACAGGAGCGATACCGGACCATCACCACAGCCTATTACAGAGGAGCTATGGGCTTCCTGCTCATGTATGACATCACCAACCAAGACTCCTTCAGCGCTGTGCAGGACTGGTGAGTGAAGGGATGGGATGGTCAGGACCGGCCCCAAAGGTATAAGCCAAGCGATCGGCCGCTTAGGGCCCAGCCGCCACCAGGGGGCCCCCCACGTGTCACAGCCTGTCAGGATGGAAAAGTAGACGAGAAATGGCAGCTAGTCTTGGTGGCCATGAAAGCACATCGTATTGGATCCCAACCCAGATCGATCTAATTGCGTTGCACATTCCTTAGGACCCTCACTCAGGGGCCTTTGGAGTCGCCCTAATCCCACGCAGAGAAACGGTGCCCCGCTGAAATGCTTCTGCCATCCATTAAGAGACAGATGAATAACAATTCCCTCTGATTACTGTAACGCTGAACAGAAAAAGTGCTCTTTCCCTTGGAGACTCTGCAGATCCAGGGCATCCTCTAATGGTGCCACGCCCTCTGATGATAAATATTACCCGAAAACTGGGTTAAAATCATCTCCTCTTTCTTTAGTCTTTACCCCCTTTTCCTGTTGTTATAACTTTTGTTTCCTCCCTTTTTTGACCCCCCGCCCACTCCTGCCCCCCCGCCCACTCCTGCCCCCCTTGCTGACTCACCTGTGTCACCCCCCTTCCCATGCCCGGCTGCCCCACCCCTGTCTCCCAGGGCAACCCAGATAAAGACGTACTCATGGGACAACGCCCAGGTGATCCTGGTGGGAAACAAGTGTGACCTGGAGGACGACAGGTTGGTCCCCACGGAGGACGGCCGGCGGCTGGCGGACGAGTTAGGTGAGCACCCCCATCACCCGCCACCCCCGGCAGGACACCTGTCGCCCCCTACAGAGTTACTGCTGAAATGCACCAAACCTGTGACATCATTTTGCCCTTTAGATTCTGTCAGTTTGAATTCATTGTTCCTCATTTACAGAACATATGAGAATGGGACGGGGACAGGAGAATGTGACACTAAATGACTAAAGCCTGATTTTCAGCAGGGAGGGTACAAAGAAACACTCACACAATCATTCATGCGCAGACACTCACTCTCTCACTCACTCTCACACTCACTCACTCTGTCTCACGTTCTCACCACAGGGGCTGGTGGATGTGTTGTCCCCCTAATGTCACATAAGTGTCAAGCTGTATTAGCTGTGAGATCTCTTCTCATTGCTGTTAGGATCTACTGTGTGTTTCAAAGCATCGCCTTGAAACGATGGGCAGTGGTGGCTTGATGGTTAGGGAAGTGCACTTGTAATTGAAAGATTGCAGGTTTGAATCCCCGACCAGCAAGTCACCACTGAGGTTCCCTGAGCAAGGTACCGCCCCCAAGCACTGCTCCCCGGGTACTGAATTAGCTGCCCCCTGCTATGTCATGACGTCACATACGGGTTAAATGCAGAGGACACATTTTGTTGTTGTGCACTGTGGTGTATGAACAATGACCACTGATCACTAAATTCTAGTTAATGACCCCCCCCCACCCCAGCTGTCCTGAGAGCTCCAAAGTGATACACACTGTCATTTAACCTCATTTTAAAGTGCTGCCTTTCAATTTAGCTGTCAGGCAAACCACAGAGGGCCCTGGACCCAGGTGCACACTGTCAGGTAGCCTTGACCGTCAGTCACCGTGCGGCTCGGCCTGTAACCCCTTAGCACTGGTGCCCCGCTTACGGAGATCTGAGGCACCTTCATATAACCACACCCACTGAATCCGTTTGTCCTCTTTTTGGTCTCTCTTGCTTGAGTCCTTCTTTACTCCTGCTTGCACCATACCGTACTCTCCTTAATAGTCTCATCTCTTGTCTCCCCCCCCCCTCCCCGCCCCGGGGTTGCGAATGCGCCACTGCAGGTTTCCAGTTTTTTGAGGCCAGTGCCAAAGACAACATCAATGTAAAGCAGGTGTTCGAACGACTGGTGGACATCATCTGTGAGAAGATGAACGAGAGCATGGACGGCGAACCCAGCCCCATCGCCAATCACCGTGGCCCCGGCCTGCCAAGCGCCCCCCCCGAAAACCAAGGAGGGTGCTCCTGCTAACCCGCCTGCCCCCAATGCCACCCTGCCCCCCCTTCCTTTCCCACTGGCCCAGATGACCCTCCACACCCATGTGCAATCTCCTGAGACAGCCAACTCTTTCCTGCCTGCCCCTGCTCCACCTCAGCCAGCGCTCAGCTGCTCCCTCTAGTGGCCAGACATCCTCAGTGCGCCGCTTTCATGGTCACTGCACCTCCAGCATCATTGTCTGAAGTTTCTTAAAGATTACCTTAACTGGAATAGCTCCCCTTGAAATCAACCCCTGCCCCCTCCCACCCAGTCTCTAACCATGTTTGATCAGTCATGGGGGAATGACATCACCAGCGCTGAATCATCACGTTCCTGGATCCATTCTCCTTCAGTGCCATCATCCTGGTTCAATGTCCTGTTTCTCCATGTTGCTACTTCACATTAAAGACTCTTAAGTGGAAAAATACCCACTTATTCTGCTACTGTTATTCACCACAGTTTTTCCCATATAAGGAAACTTTTAAAATAGCTTTCAGTTTTACTTTAATGGTGTTCCCACCTAAACTGCCCCTCCACACCCAGGAAAACACATAAGCAAAGTCAGCTCTACTAGGCAACCTTATACAACCATTTATATAATACATAATGAATGCTGAGTGTTCAGTTGGTTAGGAAAAACACATTTGGTATTTGAATGAGTTACAGCATATATCTGTTAAAGGACTGCCTTCCCGTCTTAAGATCTCTCGTCTCTCTGAAAACTCTTTCATCCATGGCACTGGTGAGCAGCTGGAAGATGCTGCATGAATCTTGATAGTTTCCTGTGTGGATACTGCAGTGTCGGGAGGCAGCGGAAGATCAGTCTGTAGTTGTGGGTCCCTGGCTGCTGTAAAACAGTGAAATATGGCTACAAAACATTTTCATGATAAATCATTCTTAGGCGAGGTGGCCTTAGATGGAATTTTAATTCTAGAAGGTTGTATATCCGAGGGTGGTGTGTTGATGGTGGGTATACTATATGCAATAGATTTTACAAGTATTTTTCACACCAGGACTCCGTGCTGGTTAAAGAGTTGGAGACTGGATGGATGGATAGATGGAGGTATATTGTTTATAAAAGGTCTTCACTAGGAACACAACTCTGTCAGATTGCGGATTCCGGTTATCTCGCGGATGGCAGGTGAATCGATCGTAAATAACATTCTTACAGCCTGTACTGAACCGAGAATTTTGCTGATTTGTTTAGCGAGGGATGAAGAGGAAGATCCGCCTCACTGTCTAATCGTCCTCTCTCTCTGTGCCCGTCTCCCACGCACTGCTGCCCTGTGGAGAGCTCACCTCCCTCACTGTGCTCTGGTAGCGTGTCGCAGTGTGGCACTCTGCTGCCGGCTGATAAACTCCCCAAAATATTCCATTTGCCAGGGAGCATCGGTTGGCTTTATCGACCCTGACAGTGTTTTGGTGGGTCCCTCTCTTCTCTAGGTGAAGGACATTGTTTTTTTTTGCCCCCCAAGTGCCACCATAGTTGCCTAGCAGACCCATGGGATGTTATATATGACAGTGGCACTTAAGAAACTCTGTGCCACCAATCGCATTGACAGTAGTGAGACTCGAGAAAGAAGAACCGGCATCACTGTTAAGCCGAACACACCAAATGTGTCCTATGTGTCTATATGTCTGTGCGCTCTCTGCTGTGACCTTTCTTGCATCACACCTGTAAATGTCACAGTTACAGGCTCTGCCTGCTACACCTTGGCGGAAATTCCAGTTGAAATCAACTGTCCAATGGCATGAATCTGCATAATTGCTCAGTGTATCAACAGTAGATTACCAGTAGTACACAGAGTTTTTCTACAATAAACCAATAGACTATTTAAGTTACCCAAAAGACCAAGAATTTTACTGGAATTTCCTCTATAGGATAGATACATTAACTGCTGTAGGGTGGCAGTACTGCATGTTGGTACAAATGAAAATGTTACAAATATGAAGGCAGACCTTATCAATACAGCCCAGAAATTTATGTCAAATGTAGTTCCTTGGATAAAGACCACTTAGAGTTTCCTGACACATCTGTCCATTTTATTGCTTTAATTTTTTCATTTTTTTTTTTAATGGAAATATCCCAAAGATAACATCAATAAAGAGTTCTTGACAGATGCGTTGCCCCAAATGAAGACCTTGTAGGATTCGAGTAAGAAGTTATTATTATTATTATTATTGGTGGGTTATACAGGTTTTGCTATTCTAAACATTTGGATACTATATTCTGTTGTGCAACCGAAAGATCATGCTTGAGTTTTGAACAGGCACCTGTTTGGTCATCCCCATAACCGCTGCATGTCCTGCTGTCCTCCAGCCCCTGTGTGTGCTGCTGCTGTCACTGTAAAAGAAAATGGGGACTTCTCTCAGAATCCTGTCCTCCGACCTCCTCAGCCCTGTAACGATACAGCCTTCTTGATCACAGGTCCAAACACTGCTCTCAAGAAATCTGCTGTGTACGGAGACATGTGTGTACGGAGGCATGTGTGTTCAGCGGCGGCCCCGTGTGTCCCGGGGCATCAGAGCATGTTTTCCTGTTTCTTTTGTTTGGGAATGCCAAAAATTAAACAGGGGAAAATGACAACAGTGACATTGTTTTTTGTTTGACTGCAAGACGTGCCTGTTTCCTCACCTAGTATGAAAGGAAATAATGTAAAATGACATATATAGACCTATTTCTTTAAGAATAAATGTTGCATTCACCATGAAATATCTGTTGTGCTTTTTTAAAAATCAATTGTCTTGTCAGCCATTGTGATTGGCTTATGTGGGGGTGGTTTTGGGTAGTACATGTATCCTGCGTTATAGGACGCATACCCCCCTAATATGTAATTTGGCTTCATGCATCCCCCCAATAAGCAAACCTTTGCATTTATATTAAGTTGCGTTAAACTCTCTCCTACTAAGTTGACTAGGAAATAGCAGATGGAAGGCGCTTTGCCAAGTTTTATGTCAACAAGGCGGGAAAACGGCTCTTATCTGAGATGGGACATGGCACTCCGGGGCGCTGATAATGCGCAAAGGGAGCCAAAGCGCGCGCTGCGTCTTGCAGATAAAGGCACGTTCGCCACCCGCCGGCCGGACAGTCACATAGGCGGCGTGAGCGCGGCGTGGCGTACGTCCCTCGCCACGTGACCTCGGCCAGTCGCCGTTGCTTTACAGTTAAGCAGCAATACAGCAAAGCAGTTCGTCCTGTTCCGCTGATATTTCTTTTCTTATTTATAAGTACAATCATGTTTTCCTTGCCTGGGTATCAAGAATATGGTTTACCACTTCTGTGGCCCATTTGAAATCGATTTAAATAAAAAAATAATTCATTATTTATTCATTTATTATTGCACATGGCCTAAAAATTAGCTGGGCTTTCCTCTTAACTTCGAAAACATCAATGAACGTGAGAATGTCCCCTCCCATCGTATCACGCCCACCTCCCTCCCCAAACTGCCATCCACACAAAGTAAACAAGTCGAGCGCTGGTTTGCGGTTCCGATCTCCTATATCTGCTGTAACGCACACGCGTAACGACTGCGTGGGAACTACCGTATCTCTCAGGCAAGATGTAATGGAGCAGGTTCAGGGCTGAAAGGTCGTTTTGACTTTGGGGCAGAGGGGATAGTTTAGTAGTTATGTGCCGGAGCGCGCATTCAAGCCGGTTTAATTCTCTGATTAAAGCCAAACCGTCCAAAGGAGGAAGATTACTGCTGTTTGCTGTCTTCTGGTTTCGCTGCATACGAGTCTTAGCAGTCTGCACTCCAAAGGTATGATTTCCTAAACTGCTTTGCTTCAGTAACATGCTATTAATTCCACGACCCCGGACTGAATGAGGATTTGATAGATCGTTACATATTTTAATTGTTTCTTGTAATATATATTTACCGTTATAAAACATTCCGAATTCTTTTTGCCTTTTATCCACCCAAATCCGTAACCAGGATAAGTGGTTAAAAGATGGATGGATTGGATTTACAGCCTTTAAATATATATTCCCTTTAAAACAGATAATGATTTCACCCGACTTTCAACTGCTTATTCCATGTAAATCCAGTGCAGGGCCCACACACACACAATGGGCAGCTTCAGGCATATACCAGTTTACATGTGTTTGGGGGCAAATCATTAACCATGAAGGTGTGAGACTACAGTGCTACCACCTAAACCACAGATAATTTCAAAAATATTCTCCTTATAGGATGTATAGGAGTTAAAAAGAGTTTAAAAAGTAGCTTTCCCTACATATACACTCTCAGGAAAAAAGGGTAAAAATTTGTACCTTTGCTTGTCACTGGGGCTGTACCCCCAAAGGTCTGTCAATTGTACCCTTAGCTGTAGGCAATTGTACCTTTTAAGGCAGAAATGGACTCTGATGAACATTTCTGTACCATTGATGGTATATTAATGCTGTTTGTACCTTTGGGATGTTCCTCAGAGTCTATCTCTGTACCTTAAAAGGTACAAATTAAAGGGTACAGCCCCAATGACAAGCAAAGGTACACATTTTTACCCTTTTTTCTGAGAGTGTATGGCTCGCTCACATCATAATGTAATTGGTTGGCTTTATTAAATGTCAGTTCCTTTTTCACAGCACACCTGCTGCTTGCTGTGGAGCCTGAGAACCCAAAATGCTTTGCTGAAGGAATGCAAGATCTTACCTGCTTCTGGGAGGAGGAGAATGGGGGCACTAAGGAGCACTACAGGTTCACCTACACATACCAGTACACGTATGTGTCACGGGTCTCCTCCGCGCTGTAACCTCTCACAACATATTTTACATTTCATTTCTTTAGCAGACTTTTCTCTAAAATGATGTGCGTTGTTGGGAAAGCAAGGTCAACCAGGGGGTTTGAACCAACAACCTTCTGACTGCAGGCACAGGCTGCTAATCACCTGAGCCACACACCACAGTTAATACTTTTGGTTATTTTTTTCCTGCTCCACCAGACAAAATGTGTCAAAATATTCGCAGACTGAATGTACAATGATGCAACTTTTGTGCGTGACGCACAGTGAAATCGCGTTAAGTCAGCTCCCAAAGTTAGTTTCTCAGCTGGCCTGCGTGGCCAGTATCCTGAGATTTAATTATGTTTCCAGATATAGCAGTACTTATCTGTGGTGATTGATCTTCCAGTGGCTTTCCCTGGCCAGGATCACGCTGCATTGATTCCCTCTGCGTATCCTTTTGTACTTCATTTAATTTGATCCCTTTATGTGTCCTGGTAGGAATGAAAACAGCAGTGAGTGCAATGTGTCAGAGCTACCAGCAGGTGGCAATAAGACGTGGTACATCTGCAGGCCGCCGAAGGTCCAGCACTTTGTGCCCCTGGATATCCGAGTGTTTCGGGAAGGACGGCTGATCCACAACCGGAGCCTGCTAATTGACCATGTCTGTAAGTGTATAAGCTGGGGTCGGTGTAGAGAATCCCTCCCTCTGCCCCCGGAGGTGACCCTGAGCTCACGGCCTGGGCGATCTTATGCCCGCAGTCCTGCTGGATCCCCCTGCCAATATGACGGTGACGAGGACGGGGCAGCAGGGGCAGCTGAGGGTGAGCTGGCAGCCAGTCCGGCTCGCATACATGGACAACAGCATGACGTACCAGATCAGCCACAGCGCTTCTGGCAGCCGCGTGGGCAAGGTACAGCGGGGCGACCTCCCGGGGCGCGTGGGGTGGGACCCACAGACCCACACTAACCCAGCTGCCTGGACCATGTGACCAGCCCCCTGACTCGTGCCCTTATTTAAAGGCCATTTTGCATGCTCACCTCCTGCACTTCCAGATAAACACGGTGCGAGCTGGCAGGGATCTCCTCCTGCAAGGCCTGCAGCCCGACACCAGCTACGACGTGCGTGTCCGGGTCAAGCCCAGCGGCCTTTCCTACAGTGGCTACTGGAGTGTGTGGGCGCCTGCGGTCTCCATGGAGACGCCCCCTGCTGGTGAGAGGAGAAATAAAGAATCTGGAATCTTGATAGCAGTGACCCCTACCGATCTCTCTCATCTCCTCATGAGACTGAAATTGTCCCCCTGCCCCAGCCTCTGATTTTAAAAGAGCTCTTTTCCTGCTCCTCACTGCAGATCTGGATCTGCTTCTCCTGGTTCTGTGTCTCACCATCTCTTTGGTCATCATCCTGTTGTCTCTCATCCTCCTCCTGTCCCATCGCCGGTCAGTAAAAGCCTGCAGTCTTGGTGATGTCACATTATGTTATTTGGGGGGCAGCGTGTGGCTCAGTGGGCTAAGCTTGTGTGCCTGTAATCAGAAGGTCGCCGGTTCAAACCTCAGCACATTTGCGGGTCCTTGAGTGAGGCTCTTAACCCCCCGGGCGCTGCTACAGGTGGCTGCCCTTCGCAAACAGCTTACTCTACAAAGAGCAAGTTGGGGGAGGCGTAAAGACAATTTCCCCACAGGGATCAATGAATTATCAATAATAATTAGATATTTATATTTTATGCCTTCCTGTGTAGTGGGGAAAAAACACAAAACACACTCCTAAAATTTGCTAGTCTGGTGATTTATTCTGTTTGAGATAATCAGTTAGAAAAGCTGTGTCTGCAGCTCTGGAAAAAACTAAGAGACCACTGCATATTTTTTTATAATCTGCATTGTTAAATCCTGGTTTAATCGTGGTTCTGCTGGCAGGAGGCTACATTGAGCGGTAGGTTGCTTCCAGGCTCAAAATTTCTAAAAGAGCAGCACACAAGAACAATGTGAAGCAGGAGACACTGGGAACGACCAGAAACCAGCCAGGCAGAGGGCAGAAGCAACTTTCTAATGGCAGAGATGACCGTCAATTAATCCGACAGTTTCTTATGAACTTATGAATCATAGGATGAACACAAGTGACCTTCAAAAGGAATGGGAAACATTAAGTGGGGTGAAGTGCACTGTGAGGACGGTGTGTATCAGGCTCCTAGAAGCAGGACTGAAGTCCCATAAAGCAAGGAAGAAGCCCTTCATTAATGAGAAGCAGGGAAGAGCCAGGTGGCAGAAATGAAAAATGTTGCTATGGTCTCTTCCTTTTCTCCAGAGCTGCATTAATATGAACATTTTAGAGTAGGACAAAAGCTAATGATGAGTAATTTCCCTTCAGGTTTCTGCTGAAGAAGTTGTGGCCTGAGATTCCCAGCCCTGCAAACAAATTCCAAGGTCTCTTTACTGTGTATGGTGGTGATTTTCAGGTAAATTACTTTATGGCATTCTGTTATGCTTCCATGTAAGTTACCTTGAGACTCCCTGTTATATATCTAAGATAATATTGTTGGCCAAATTAATCAGGGTAAAAAAAACCACAAAAAGCAATATCCCTCTGCAGACATTGGTCACCCACCACCCCAATCCCCCCCCCCCTCCCTCCACCGTCTGCAATGATTAACTATGTCTCTGGAAATTGTATTTGATCACTTTATCCTCATCACCTTCGCACTTTAACAACAGGCATTTGATAGTCTGATGCTGTTACGTTTACGTTTACTATGATGTTATACCTTTGTGCAGGGGAGTGTCTTGTTTTGGTTGGAAGGTGGGGACTAATGTTTTGGGTGAGAGGAGTGAATAGGTTTGGGGGGAGTGTATGAGTGAGTGTGGGTAGGCTGCCTTGGGGCAGATTTGTTAATTCTTAACTATATTGGTTTTAAAACACTGACTAAGAGTGGCAACTCTAAATTTCGTTGTGTTTAATACTACGTATTTTATGCAATGACAAATAAAGCTTCTAATTCTAATTCTAATTCTAATTCAAATGGTTCATGGAGCTTCATTTGGTTATCACTTCTAAGAAGTTCCTGAAACACTCAGATTTATCTTTTAACACCTCTGTGATTATGACCTGGTGGACCAAATTTCAGCTAAAACATTCCCCCCCTCTGATTTACCCTCAGGAGTGGATGGGTTTTAACACAAGTGACGTCAGGTGGAGGTCGGCTGCATTGTTCATGGGGGAAAACCCATCCGTACTGGAGGTGCTGTGCGAGGCCAGGTTCAGACCTCCAGCTGGTATCTGCTCTGTGTCATCTGGGGCCTCGGACCTCCTGACGGAGGTGGACTTAGAGGAGGATGAAATGGCAGGGAAGGCGAGCCCCAGGTCGATGGAGGTATGCATGGGGCGGCCGCACCACCTTTGGCCGTTTGAGCAGCTCCAGTTGGCGCAGAAACAGCATCCCCTACACACTGGGCATCCCCCACTGGAGCCGAACGACACCTACGTGTCCCTCAACCAGAACTCCCAGCCGGAGGGTCAGGAGAGCGGCCCACTGGACGACGTGTCTGATGAGTCGTGTCCTCTGCGGGTCCTCTTCACTGACTCAGGAACTCCAGTGTCATGTTCAGAATTCGGGTCCCTGAAACAGAGCTCAGGGAGGGTCTCCTCCCAGTTAAGCCTGGACTATCCCCACTGGCCAGTTAAGGGAGGGGGCTATGTCTGTATGACGGGGACCGATTCAGGGATTTCAGTGGACTACAGCCCAATGGGCACTGGCACCAGCATGACAGCCAATATGGGCCGGATATCTGCCAACAAGTATGATTTCCTCCCGTCCAGGTGTCCTTACTCTGGACAGCCCGTTCAGTCCAGTTGTTGAGTACAGGATAGCTGGTCAGAAACATTCACGCGGTGTCCACAGGACGTTCTGAAGGTTCTTGAGCTCCAAAGAGGTGGAATTGTTTTGCCGGAAACAGAGCATATTATTGGTACAATAACTTTGGCCAATACCAGAGATTTACGGAAGTTTGAGAGCGTCTTTTTTGAGAGACGGTACAGTTTGATGAGTGAAAAAGGCAACCAAGGAGGAATGACTCTGAAGACTCAGACGCTCACAGGGTTTCTCCCATGATACCTTTTATATCACCATTTATATGAACTGTGCACATGCGGAACACACAAACGCTGAGGTCTCTCCAGGTCGTGGTTAAAACCACCTGTTATTTGTATTATTAGCAAAACCAGAAAAAAGCTTAAATATTTTATTCCATATTTCTTGCAAAAGTGAATAGTCTGTCAGCAGTACTAAGAGTCGTGAAATGTAATAACTTTGAAAAGCAGATCCTGAAGTATGTGTGGAATGGTTGTTTGTAGTCAGGATCTCTCTGTGGGGTCCCCCTGGTGGCCAATACCCACGTATGACATGCCAACCATGGGCGAGGGCCGCGGGCAGCGTTGCGGCCAGTCTTGTGGCTAAGAGATTGTAAGTAGACATCCTAGGCAGAGCACTGCTGTTGTACCACTGAGCGACTTGAAATAGCTGGCAATAATAATCTTCCTCTTCCACTGACATACTGGCTTTATAGATGATATTATGGGTGTTATTATCTACAGCATTCAGTTTTGTGCTTCCAGAGCAAGTAGTTTTGTAAAATTCTGTAAGTATATTGGCATTTGGATGTGACTGTATTAGGTATGTCTTTTAAATACTGTTGTCTGTAAAATGAATGAAGCTTTTTTACAATATATTTTTGTACCACAGATGTTTTTGAATATTACAGTGTTAAAACATGTATGGATAAAAATAAAAGGTGCTTTTCTTATATAGTGGTGATGTTAATTTTAATATATACGTGAAATGTGTTGGTAAAGTGGATTGTTGGGTAAGAATGTGGCCTCAAACATTTTTCAAGGATGAGGGCTGCCCCCCCCCCCCCCCATATTTCCATGCCATGTACCCTGCAGTTGCTGGGATGGACTCACAGTGTAGATAACCTTGTTGTCAAGATATCTACCACAATATGGAAATTTATGCAAATTTAGTCCCAAAATTAGATTTATAAGATTAATAAGAGTAAAATGAAAGGCTACCAGTTTCATAGAGGACATTGTCTGTCTCTCTGGGTTAACCGGTAGGCCTGGATGTTACCTCAGACATTAACTCATTCATTCCAGTAATAAAACCACTGTGAACATGAACATACAAACCCAGTCACAAGTTTCAGTGATGGTCAAAGTAGAGTAAATAGTTAATGGTTAATAGATAGAATCAGAGTCAACTCATTTTATTGACAGTATGTACTAACATACCAGAAGTGTTTGTGGTCCAGTGCCAATCATGCAGTGCACAGTATTTCAAGACATACAGGAGAATAATTCACAGAACACTATGTGTGGGGAAAAAAGGAATGCAAATAAGAATACGAAACATTTACAGACGACACAGTGCAAGACGGCTTGAAACAGTAAATTAACACGGTACATGAGGTTTACTTCCTGCTGGGTGATGCCCTCCTCAGGGAATACTCCAAGCTGGCCTGGTCAGCCCCGCCCACATCGCCCCCTATTTTGCACCCAAGCCAGCGCAGTGGCTCTTAATCAGCATCAGAGTAGCCGGCTGAAGCACGTCACCTGGGTGCAGGTAAGGGATCACTAACCACCAAACGAACAACATGCCTTGATATGAATTGTACCATTTCATGTTCATTAACATTTGAAAAGCACATGTGCATGCTGAAGGAAGAAGTAGACGTATATCATTTATTTGACTTTTTATGCCACTTTTAATATTTTTCTACCAACAGATGTTTTGGCTATTATGTGTCAGGTAAAATTCTAGCTCAAAATGGGAAAATAAATTGTTGGGCCATCTTTGGCAAACAGAACTTTCCATATTTACATTCTTTGTTAGAGTAACTTGCCATATTTTACCACTAAAGCTGTTTTTTTGACACATAAAACTGCTGTAACAAAGTTCATACAGTTTATAGAATCAGTATGAAAGTAACATCACACAGTTTTTGTGGTAAAAAAATAGCATGATTTTTAATGGCTTAGATAAATACATATGAACCAAGATTTGTTCATTTTATACATAGAGAATGGTTGGCATTCGTGTACAGACAGTTTAGGGCTTGTCAGTGTTTTATTGCTGGGCTTCGTGTCGTAGGTCAGGTGTCACGGAGGAGGAATCTGCCTGAAAATTAGACACATCATCCCCAGGGAGCCGTTTTGTGTGAGTTTCACAGATGACCACATTCATATATCGCCATTTGGGAAATATGCTCAACACTCCCAAATTTTCTCTATTGATTGGTTCATAGGTGTATGTGTGTGTGTGTCTCTATAGCTAATCACCATTTAAAGTGTCTCCCACTATAGTCCATTAGAAATTTCTAGAACAATTCAGGGAGTTTCTGGTTTATTGTGTGTTGCAGATGTCCATGAAATCTTATTGCTGTTTATTGCTGCAGATGATGGTTCTGTTTGCCAAGTAATGCATCAGCTGAAGTAAAATTCAAAAGAGAGGTGAAAAAAGTCATAAAAAGGGATAGATGAGATGACTCACAGATGGGAGGCTGCCTTCAGGGAACAGGACACTGGATAGTACACAATAAACCTGCAGGTGTTGTTTGTTTTTTGTGCTGTGACTTCCTGTTTGAGTCTTTCACAAGGAGTTGGTCACCACTGTCTGGCAGCAAACATTTTCTCTGTCCTTGGCCATTTCTCCAATGAGTGTCTGAAATTAACCTTTGGATAGATGAGGCATTTTTATGAAGTTTCTGATGAAGTGTCCTGCTTCAGCACACAATATTATATTGGTTTGACAACTTTGATTATCTAATGAGATTTACAAACAGGGTAGATGCTTATTGGTTACGCGCAAACACATTCACTGATATATCAAAAGCCTATGTTGAAAGAATTGACCAAAAATAAATGTTTTCATACAAATGCACACAGACAATTCTCACTTTAACTTAAATGTGGAAATTTTATAATGTAGAGTAGGGGTGTCAAACTTAAGGCCCATGGGTCACATCCGACCCGTGGTACAATTGTATGTGGCCAGCGCGATGTCTTATGTTTATCAGAACTCCAAATCCCAGATTGCACAGCGACAGCTAGCGTGTTGGCACGTCAATCAAGGAAGGGCTGCACGATATAACATTGCGATTATATGGCGCATGTGAAATAATTACCAGTGCTTTAGGTGACGGCAAAACATTTGTCCGGACAGCAGGTGTTCGGTACTGTAGGGACGTTGACGCCTACAATTTGGTAAACAGAGAGTAGTGCGCTTATAATATTAGTAATCTGTATAAATTTGGCATGTCCCTGTGTTTAATAAAGAAATGGGGACTTCAAAAAGTATCGCACAAACACCGACATCGTGTTTATCCACAATAGCCCCCCTTTCAAAAGATCTTGTGAATGCTGAGATATCTCTTTCTTCACCATCACTTCAGTGCTTATAAATCGCTTCCATGATATACCAAAAACAGTGGTATGTGGTGTCTCCGCTAACCGAATTTAATAAGCATAATGATACGCTGAATTTATACAGATAACTAACTCATGGACATCAATGTGACCCCCAAACGCTGATGAATTTGGCAGAGTGAATTTAAATGCGTTTTTTCTTTTTGCATTTATCTCATGTCATTTCAAGGTAGACTGTTAATATAGCCTATAGATGTATTCTTGAAATATTTGTACACGTTGAACAAATAGATCATCAAAAATATTTTCGTTTTGCGTGCTGTCAATGCAAAACAGTGACTTTAGATTTTGAGGAAGTTATTATTTTGGCTTTTTTGATTCCCTGCGATAAAACATTTTCATTGGAAATGACTCGGCGAAAAACGGCTTTTATAGATGAAGGCAAAACATTACTGATGTGTTTTTTGTTGTTGTTGTTTTTAATGTGATCTCTCATTTGTTTGTTTAATGTATAAACTTGGCTTATTCTGAATTGTAATATGTCTTGGGAGAGGTTAAGGGTATCATACATATTTCTGTATGAATAATTGGCCATAATACATCTGATTAAACATAGTCAATTTAAGACTTTTTCAATAAATATTGACCTAGTTCGGCCCTCAAATTTAACTCCGTTTTTAATTTTGCCCCCCTCTGTGATTGACTTTGACACCCCTGATGACGTCTGTAAAACAAGGCAGCACGTCATAACATTTCCCAACCCAGCAGTGTGTGGCACTGTGTGACTCTGTGGGCTAAGAGTCTATGCCTGTGATTGGAATATCTGCTTTTCATTTATAGGGTAAGATTAGGGCAGACTTGCCATAATTACACGTAATACTGTGTGGAACTATAAAAATATCAGATATAAATATGATGAAAATGTGGGACTTCGTGGTCAAGAGCTAATGAATAACCACAATTAGCCTAGAACCCATTGTCTGTAGGTCAAACACCCCTGTTTACATTCAGCTGATAAAACATCATAAAATTTGATATTGCGCCTTTGCTTCCTGCCTGTAATAAACGTCCCTATCATTGTCTCACTGGCTTCTGTGTCCCTTTTCCCCTTCTGTTTTAGGAATAACAGACACCAAAAATGTGCTGCTCTGATTTCCTTAGAGTCGTCATGGTTGCCTTCAATGGCATCATTTTCGTAAGTTGACATCCTTTCCTTCCCTAGTAACTCTTTTCTCCCCTTCTTATAAATATTGTGCAGAAATATTTTGCTAAAAGAAGGGTGTAAGTTTAGTACATACTGGCATGTGACATCTCATCTGCTTTACAACTGGACTAAGATGGTTCAGACAAACATTACATCACAGGATTATCTCCGATTTACAAAGGTGTCATGCTTTCACTCCTTTGGGGTCTTGTGACTTTTCTTTGGATAGATTCTGATGTTTCAGTTTTACTTAAATATAATCCAACCATCCATCCTCTAAGCACTCATCCTGGTCAGGGTCATAGAGGGCCTTAAGCTGATCCCGTGTAGCACAGGGCAGTAGACTGATTGAGGTAATCAGTTTTAATATATCATGGGAATGAATGAATAAAACATGGCCTGAATTAATAAAATGTAGGCAAGATTTAATACGTCATGGGAACAAATTAGTACAATGTTGCCACGATATATATAATTTTTATCGTTATGTCATGAACAGGCTCCCGCAGCAAAAATAATACTTGACCTTACAAATAATATTTAATAAGGGTATAAAACATGGCTGAAAAAGACAAAAAAAATTAAAAATTCAAATGTTTATAGCAGCAATTCTCAATCTGTGGGTCGCGACCCAAATTTGGGCAAGTCCTGAAAGGGTCGTGAGGCAGAGTTGGAAATGTAAGCATTTTAAAACCAGAAAGCTCCTATGCTGATCCACGATCAGATTTCCCTTCCTCAGTCCTACAATTAATCTATATAAACAGTTCTTGAGTCTGTAACTGCTTAGAGCAAAACTAGTGAACACTCAACCAATCCAAGAAGCCAAACCACAGTTGCTTAATTTACAATCCACTGGCACATCCAATCAGATTTATGCGATAGGAATTGATTGACGTAAATTGCAGAGTGTACTGTGTGCTGCTTGATCATAGCATTAATTTAAAACTATACTTGATATAGGGTCTCGACTGAGCTGGCATGTTAAAATATTTGGTCGCGATACAAAAAACTTTGAGAACCTCTAGTTTATAGGGTCCTGTTCCTTGTGCTTTCCAATTAAAGCCCTGTTTATGAAGTGTGTTGACAGAAGCCAATCAAGGAAATGCTTTTAGTTACTGTTAGTTGAACTGATCTGTCTTGAACAGATGGATATGTTCATGTTTGTTATTGTAAACAGCTGTACGGTCAAATACACCCAAGCCCCGCCCCGCGCCGGCTCTGGACCTCCCCTCTCTCACCCCCACTGATCTACCCTGCCTGACAGTTGGCAGGGGCCGCCATCTTGGGCGTAGGTATCTGGGTGAAGGTCGACAGCGGTTCCCTGCTGAAGATCCTAGACCAGGTCGACAATATGCCAGTGGAGCTGAACCAGATCTTTTATGTGGGCTACCTGCTGATCGCGGTGGGAAGCGTGCTGGTGCTCCTGGGGTTCCTGGGCTGCTGTGGGGCCATCAAGAAGAGTCCCTGCATGCTGCTGACGGTGAGCTATCTCCTCAGTCTCGCACTCCACTAGCAAGGCCCATCGTCTCCCATTCAGCCCAGTATGGCTTACTCTGTTGGATTTCCAGTTTCCCAAGGCATTTTGTATTGGCATAAAACGCCTGCTGTTTTCATCACACTTTGCTTTCTAAAAGTATCTCTCTTCTTTAGTTCTTCGTCATCGTGCTCCTGGTCTTCATAGCGGAAGTGTCCGGGGCGATCGTGGTCCTGGTTTTCAAACCTCTGGTGGGTGATGTCACAGGCTGCGTCGCCGCAGACAGCAGGACTTCCTGACGTGCCTGGTGTCCAAAATGGCTGAACTCTCTATTGTTGTGCTACAGGTTGATACATTAATCGAAAAAATAGGCACTGAAGCGGTCCAAAAGATCAAAACGGATTATGGGAAAAATCCAAACCTTACTGAACTTTGGAATGATACCATGGATGGGGTACAGTATCAAAAGAGATGTGGATTAAACCATCCTAAACATTATAAACGCAACAGAATGTCTGCATTCATCTATATCAGTGGATGGTTTTGAGATAAAAAGATTGAAACGATTATTTGTGATTTATTACTGTTCATTATTCAAAGTTAGTATATCTGTGTCATTAGCATTTAAAGATATCAGTTAAGGAGCAGGGAGCCAAGCGAATGAAAACAAAGGTAGAGACGGGAAATGGATATTTCTGGATGGAGTGAAGTATAAAGTACTTTTGGCTTCAGACAAGGATCATTCGCTTAGTGTAGTCGTTTGCTCTCTGTTTAATGTGTTTTAACAGCTGTCCCAGCATTTTTAAACATGCATATTGTCTAATATATTCTTCCGTGTCTCCTGTAGCTGAACTGCTGTGGATTTCATAACTACACAGATTTCACAGACTCCCCTTTTTATAATAATAGTAGACACACCTACCCACAGACGTGCTGCAAGGGGAGTCCCTGTAACCTGCAATCCGCCAGCACTTCGGTACTGGTGAAACCAGCAGCTTCCATTATCTTGTTTTCCCATTTTTCTTTCCTTCCTGTGGTATCATTTGGTTATTGCCCAATTCATTTGCGTAGCTACGAAGATGCGCGTTTGTATATTTTTTGTGTGTCTGCTTGCGGTTTTGTTCATACCTGACTATTTTCATTGTCTGCCCTTTACGTTTCTTTCCATGAGAGTCCTGGATAAACCCTTGACGATCTTCCTCTTGTTCCTCCAATGTTCTTCCATTACAGCAAGTGAATGGCTGCTATTTTGAGCTGGTGAAATTAATAGAGAATAATGCAGTTATCCTGGGAGCAGTGGCCCTAGGGATTGCTGCACTGGAGGTATGGATCACTGCCCGGCTCCACTGCACCCATGAAATACCCCCATAGCCATTCGTTATATTTGACTAGCAGTAGCATTGACAGAAGACAAAACATCAGTAGGGATCCTTTAATGCATGGGCTGAAGATATGGGGCAGGGCTGCCAACTTTGGTCAGCTGGCTGGCGTGAGATTTTCAATTCGAGGCAAGTCTGCACCGGCATTTATATGTACGTGACAGTTTTATTACCTTGTAAATAGCCTGTAGTGTCTGCAAACTACCCCAATGATTTTGATGAAGCTAATTTTAGGTTAATAATGGAATAATATAGATTTGCTGTAAGATTCCTTGCGTGAGCGTGAGAGTCAGAAAGCGTGAGAGTCAGAAAGCGTGAGAGTCACGCCAGATGCACGAGGGTCGGCAGCCCTGCCGGGGGCGTCGGCTAAAAAGGGCCTCAACTGACTTTGTTGAGTTAAATTATTTTTTAGACAACTTTTATTATTGCCACCAACCCCCGCCGCCGACTACACCATGGCAAATAATAGTAGGGGGTCTCTGGCCATGTTAGTCTGTCTCTTAGCTGGTCCACACACACACACACACACACACACTGTCAATCTGCCGCCCTTTCAGATTGCTGCAATGGTGGTTTCCATGCAACTGTACCGGAAGAGCTTGCATGAACACTGAGACAACGGAGCAGATCAGTCTACAGTTTTTGTCTATCTACCCGTCTGTGTCTTTATACATTAAATCAGTTTTCCTATTTTCCACCCACAGAATCACAATATATTGTTCAGAATTACACTTTAATATACAATATTTTATGTTGAGTTTTAATCTGAAAACATATGCTTGCTAATTTTAAGAGCAAATATTACATTATTTAATAATTCAAATGTATTTTTTTATGTATAGAGTTTTTAATTTAGATATTATGTTTTCATGTCAACAGGAAAATACTATGTGGTATTTTGTATTCATTGAAATTAGATTGAAATATTAAAATGTATGTTACAGAATTGTGGATTGTTATTTTGTCTGTGCATCTCTTAGTTATTGTGGTACAGTACAGAATACTGTATGCTATGCGCTATTTTATCTTTGCCGTTTTAGGTTTAAGCTGCAAATATAAGTTGCAATTTAGAACAGAAATTATAAAATGGGAAAATATCTCAGGCGACATCCACAGGGAAGCACCCTGGACAGGATGCCAGCCTATCACAGGGCAGGGGACACCCTGGACAGGATGCCAGCCTATCACAGGGCAGGGGACACCCCGGA